AGTGAATGTAGTCATTGGAGAATTGGCATAATCTCAAAGATCTGAGGTTGCTCAGAATATTTCTCTTTGGGATGATAATTTTAATTGTGCAGGATTATTGCATAGCAACACATTCTAGGAGTATCATAAAACCTGCTGCTCCATCTGATGCAGTGTGTCTCCAGAGTTTATAGTCTTTTTTTTTTTTTTTTCCCTGAGATGGAGTCTCTCTCTGTTGCCCAGGCTGGAGTGCAGTGATGGGATCTTAGCTCACTGCAACCTCCGCCTCCTGGGTTTAAACAATTTTCCTGCCTCAGCCTCCTGAGTGCTGGGATTATAGGCGCCCACCACCTCGCCTGGCTAATTTTTGTATTTTTAGTAGAGACGGGGTTTCACCATGTTAGCCAGGCTGGTCTTGAACTCCTGACCTCAAGTGATCCTCCTGCCTTGGCCTCCCAAAGTGCAGGGATTACAGGCATGAGCCACTGTGCCTGGCCCAGAGTTTATAGCCTTCATGAGCACGCTAACTAGAAGAAACAAAAAAGAATAAACACTAAATATGTATTGCTTTATTTGTATTATTTGATTAGAATTTATTTCAGTTATCTATTGCATCAAACCACTTCAAAACTTACTGGTTTAAAACAATAAATAGTGTCGTGATTTTGTGGATTGCCTGGTCTCAGGCAGTTCTCCTTGAGGAGGCATGCAGTTGCTTGATGCCTGGGGGTGGAGTCATTCTGAAGGCTTAACTGACTGAGTTAGACATGCAAGAAGACATTTTTACTCATGTAACTAGCCCCTTAGTCAGAACAGTGGGAATAGCTGGGGGCTGGTCAGGTATGTCTCTTCAGGTGGCTAGCTTGGACTTCCTTTTAGCATGTCAGTTGGCTTCTGCAGTTACCATTCGAAAAAACCCAAGCGGAAGTTACAGGGCTTTTTATGACTGAGGTTGGAAGTCATACAGCATCACTTACGCGCTAAGTAACTTAATCTTTCTGTGCCTTAGTTTTCTCTTCTATAAATGGAGATAACGAAATCTACTTCATAGGACTGTTTTGAGCATTCAATTAATATATATATAAGGTCCTTCGAACAGTGTCCAGCATCTGTTAATGCTCAATAAATGTGACCTATTATTGGCGAGGCATGGTGGCTCATGCCTGTAATCCCAGCACTTTGGGAGGCCAAGGTGGGTGGATCACTTGAGGCCAGGAGTTTGAGACCAGTGTAGCCAACACTGAAACTAAAAATAGAAAAAATTAGCTGTGTGTGGTGGCGCACTCCTGTAGTCCCAGCTTCCTGGGAGGCTGAGGCATGAGAATCATTTGAACCTGGGAGGCAGAGGTTGCGGTGAGCCAAGACTGCACCACTGCACTTTAGCCTAGGTGACAGCAAGACTCTCTCTCAAAAGAAAAAAAAAAGTTACCTATTATTAATAGCTTTATGTCTTCAGTGTCATTTATCATTTAGTCTTTTAGAATTGGAGAATAACTTTTATAAAGGGTATAAGTAGGACATTATTTTCTCATTCATTAAATTCTTCTATCAAATAATTATTAAGCACTGTGTGCCAGATGCTCTTCTAGACAGTATGATGCAATTAACAAAGATTTAATTAAATTCAAAGTTTTACTAGGTTTTAGTTGGTCTCTGATTATAGGTTTGTGATATTTGCAAATATTGGTCTTATACTTCGTTATTTTTGTTCTTCAGTTTCATACATATTTTGACTAGAATATCTGAAACTAGATTAAATAAAGGAGTTGGCTATTAATTTTTGATCACATTTATTTTAATGAAAACTAACTTTTATTTTTAGGGGTATCTAACTATCAAGTTGAAGAAGATATAGGAAAGTTGAAGTCTTGTCTCACTGGCTTCCTTCAGGAATATGGTTTATCTGTAATGGTGAAAGATGATTATGTCCATGAATTGTGAGTATTTTTTAGGGTATCTAGGAGATGATTCCACACCTGTCGTAACGCTAATCAAAATTCATGTCTCTGTGATCTCCTCTAGTTGCCGATATGGAGCTGCTGAGCCACATACCATTGCTGCGTTCTTGGGGGGTGAGTTCCATATATGAGAAGACTCACCTGTTGTTACTAGTATAGTTACTATTTTAATACGAAGTTGTGTCGTCTAGCTATTTTAATTAGGGAGGTCAGTGAAGCAGGATGTTATATTTCTTTTTTTTTTTTTTTTTTTGAGACACAGTCTCACTCTTTTGCCCAGGTTGGAGTGTATTGATGCCATCATAGCTCACTGCAACCTCAACTCCTGGGCTCAAGTGATCTCTCGCCTCTGCCTCCTGAATAGCTAGGACTATAGGCATGTGCCAGCGAGCCTGACTAATTTTTCAATTTTTTGTAGAGACAGGGCTCCACTATGTTGCCCAGGTTAGGATACTTATTCAGTTGCCTCTATACTGGTCTCCCTGCCTTCCATCTCTCCCACTGCCATCCAACTTAAACTCCTTAAGAGTCATTAATCCCTCTAAAGCATAGCTCTGATTGTGTCCTTTTACTAACTGTCTGCCCCACCAATACACATACACTCTACGACAGTCCTTCAAGCAAGTCCAGGGACCTTGGCTTGATGTTAAAAATCCCTGTGTTTTAGTTCCACTCAGCCTTTCTAGCCTTGATTTTATCATATTACTTGCTTTCCCCCCAGGCATGCCCTTTGATTTCCTGCTCCTAGATCTTTGCTCCTCTGGACCTATTTGCCTTAAAAATATGTTTTTCTGCATGTCCAAAACCTACATGTTCCACAAGACCCAACTCAAAAATGACATGTCTTTCATAGAAGCTCCCTTACTTCCCTCCCTCACTCTACTTCCCCCTTGTCTTAGTCACTTTGGGCTGCTGTAACAGAATATCATAGACTTATAAACAACAAAAATGTGTCACAGAGTTCTGGAGGCTAGAAGTCTGGGATCAGGGTGCCAGCGTGGTCAGGTCTGGTGAGCGCCCATTTCCTGGTTCATAGACAGCTCTCTCTTCTGTGTTCTCACATGGTGAAAAAAAAAATGGCAAGAGAAGTCTCTGGGGTCTCTTATTAGGGCACTAATCCTATTCATGAACGTTCTACGCTCTTGACCTAATCACCTACCAAAAGCCCTATCCTCATACAATTACACTGGGGGTTAGGATTTCAACATGAATTTGAGGGGGAAACGAACCATTCAGTCTGTAACACCCCTCAAAAAAATATTACTGTTCTGTCTGTGATCTCCTATAGACTGAGCTATTTGCTTGTGGCATTTTCCTTCTAGATGTTGAATGTTTTAAAGGCAGATTTAGGTTTGATTAATATTTGAAGTGTTCAAAATGTGAATGAATCATATAGACCTAAGAAAACGATTTTCTAAGCAAATCCAAAATAAAGCTTGATTCGGAATAATTTATTTTAAACTAAAACCAAGTAGTCTCTTGTGCCAAAATAGCAAAGTTAACTGCCAATTCACAGAAAAGGGCAAATTATTATTTATTCAGATTCAGTCCAGAATCTAAGAAGAAGTATAGCCGGATAGATGGACTGGATGACTTGCCAATAGCAGAAAAAAGTATAAATTGAAGGTTTTTTGTGTTTTTGTTTTTGTTTTTTACTTCTATGCATTCTGTAATCATTTTGCACAGTGCCATTATATCCCTTCACTTCCTTCAGGTTTTATTCAAATGCTGTCTTCTCTGTGATGCCATCCCTGACTCCCCTATTTAAAAGACGAACCCCTCCTCTTGTATTTATATCCCCCTTATTTGCTTTTTCTCCTTAGCACCTATGGTCAGTTGACATACTACACATTCTATTTATTTGTAAATTCTCTCTCTCTTTCTTTTTTCCTTACTGTAACCCTACTGCCTAGAACAGTATTTGGTGCACAGTAGTCTCAAATTCTATGCAGTTGGCCGAGTGCAGTGGCTAATGCCTGTAAGGCCTCCGCTTTGGGAGGCTGAGGTGGGCGCATCACTTGAGGTCAGGAGTTCGAAACCACCCTGGCCAATATGGTGAAACCCCATCTCTACTAAAAATGCAAAAATAATTAGCCAGGTGTGGTGGCAGGTGCCTGTAATCCCAGCTACTCAGGAGGCTGAGGCAAGAGAATCATTTGAACCTGGGAGGAGGAGGTTGCAGTGAGCCAAGATCACGCCACTGCACTCCAGCCTGGGCGACAGAGTGAGACTCGTCTAAAAAAAAAAAAAAGGAAAAATTCTATCCAGTCCATGAATATTTGGGAGAGAGGAATCTTCAGGTTATAGAAGATGCACAACTTTTTTTCTTAGTAGTTTTTTTGTTTTGAGTAAATATAGCAGTCTGGCGATATTTAATATAGATCCTTCCTAAATTACAAATGCATTCAGAACAAATACACCTTTCTCCTTTTTTATTATAAAACAGATACAAGGTAAAATTCAAATGCAGCAGTAGGGTGTCCTTTGAGAATCTTTTATGCCTGTGTGTAGTCTTTCAAGTTTGGTCAACCACACTACTGCTTAGATTTCCTTTAATAACAAAAAGAATTACAGGCTTTTATGTTGATAGGACTCAGTAAGCTAACTGCATCTGTTTTGGATCACTTTCAAACACCTTTGCTTTTGAAAAGGGAAGGTTTCTTTACAGAATTGAGTATTTTTATATAACTCTTGAAGTTTACTCTTTTCAGAGATTTGCTTTTCTCCTTTTTCCTTTCAGGAGCTGCTGCTCAAGAGGTCATCAAAATAATCACCAAACAATTTGTAATTTTTAATAATACTTACATTTACAGTGGCATGTCACAAACTTCAGCAACTTTCCAGTTGTAGAGTAAGCACCTTAGGTGGTGTGTTAATGATTGAAACTGTAATTGCCTTTGGGTTGTGCTTTAGTCTGTAAAATTCTAAAGGAGAGCTGGTAAATTGTTTTCTTAATAAACATTTTTCTCATTTGTAATAATGTAGTCTTGTTCTTTGTGGGGAGGGGAAAGGAGACAGTCATTTTCCTAGAAAATGAATCCTATCCATTTCTCATTGAGCATCAGTGTTGGCTTGCTATTTCAAAGTTACTTGTCATAGATTATCCTTGTGTTTTATTAGAGATAGTTAAAAAAATTTTTTTTCTTACCATCTTCAATAATTAATTTAAGCCATGTGCAGATGTTAGCTATGGACATTTTAGGACCATCATCATTTGTTAAAACGAATAGAATTTAAAAAGAAATTATTTCTGGATATGTAGTTTTCCCAGAAAACAAGACCATCCCCTTGTATGTAGTGTTATCTTAACTAAAGTTTTGGCTGCCTAACCTACTTCTTGAAATTTTATGGGGTCATTCCACTCATATATACTCTTAAATTTAGTCACATGGGACTAATAGCATTCACCAGCATTTTAGAGGGCAAAAAAAGGAAGTAGTAGATGCAAACGGAGTGGAAATCCAGAATCCAGAAGTAGGGGCAGTGCCCGGTTTTTGACCTGATGTATTAATACTTAGGGCTGAGGAACGTGGTCCGTGGTTCATGACTCTTAATATCTAAGGCCACTAACCTGCTGCAGCTGTCTCTGAGGCCAGCGCCTCCTGAGAACTTGTTAGATATGTTAGGGTACCTTACAAGGACTAGGTTTTCCACACCCTAATGTGTCAGCCATTCTTTGGCTGTTCTTCACTGTATCGGGAACCTTCCCCTCGCCTTCATCGCCTGGCAGTCCCATGGGCTGCATTTTACGGCGGAAGAGGCAAGGGACAGGTCTAGGCCTCGGCCTCGGCCCCGGCCCCACTCTGATCCTTTGGTCCGGATGCAGATAAGTCCGCCTGGACCGAACTCCGGAAGTCCCCCGGGGAGGTGGCGGACTGGCTGCCTCTGTGGGCTGCAGTGATCATTAGCGAGGTGCCCAACAAAAGGGAGAACGCACAGTGCACAGCACAGATGCCAGGTGGAAGGGAGGTGGGGCTTCGCCGCCCCGTGCCTCGCGTTTACTGTCCCATAGCCAGGCCTCGTCAACCACGTGCACAGTCCCCTAATTTTGGGGCTAATGCTCCTCTGAGGTAAAAACCCTAAAAACCGGGGGCGGTAAGATTAGATTTCTCTTTCAAATTGTAGCTTTCTTAAAAATCTTGCATCCAGGACACCGGCCACCCTATTGCCCTTGGCAACCTGGGGCACCCGCGGAAGCGTTAAGGCTCCGTGCAGGGGCAGTGGGTGTGGCGGCCGGAAGTCCCTCCCACGGACGTGGGCCTGGACTGCTGGGCGGGAAACCCTAGCGAGCGTCGTGGCAGGTGGGCGGTGATGAAGAAAGGGAGGAAGCCCCCGCTTGAGGGTAGACGCCACGGCCTTGGCTCCCGCGTGTTGGGGCCCTGCCTTACTGCGCTTGGAAACTCCGTATGTTAGCGCCTGTGGAAGGCGGGTTGGGCCGGCCAGGATGTCTTACCGTCCTGTCAGGCCCTTCTTAGCTCACGGGAGGAGAAGAGTCGAGTTGGGGGAACGGGGCCTTTATGAGTAGGTGCCAGGCCCCAGCTGTAGTCCCCACAGCCTTTGGCGGGAAGAGACAGTTATCACGAACCATTTAGAGGCGTGTAGAGCCTGGCAGTATTCGCCCCTGTTTCACTTCTGACTCCCCAGGCGCCTCCCCTGGTGACTTTGATGTGTGGAGAGGGTGGGACCCACCCTTGAGGTCTTTTCTCAGAGCCAGGGCCAGGCGGCATGTCCCACAGCACCTGAGCGGGAAGGGCCTGCTGAGGGGGCTGATGGCTCTCGAGCGGCCCGCGCCGCTCACCAGTGCCCTGCTCCCGCGCAGGACTTGCAAGCCGTGGTCAGAGAGGAGCCTGGAGGGTCCACCTAAGCTCTGCACAAGGAATTCCTCCAACTCTGTAGGTGAGCCGGCCGCGGGCTGAATGGGCAGGAAGCCGGGCGGGGTGAGCGCTCCCGCCTTGGAAAGGTTACGTGTCTGTTACCTGTGGAACCCGGGAGGAGGCCTTGAGGATTTATGTTCTGGGCTCGGGGGGATCATATTGCAGAGCCGGCTGACTCCGTGTACCCACAGTGCGTTTTCTGGGACCTGAATGACTGTTCTCTTGACCCGTTTAAACGATCGAAAACAAATTTGCCCTTTCTCTCTTGCGTCTTCTTTAGAGGGTATTTTCGCTGTATATAATTGCAAGCTGGATATCAGCTGACAACAATTTAGTGGTGGGATTACCAGCTCTGCCAGCCTTACACAAAAAGATGCCATTTATCTTTCTGATATATTGGGATAATATTTCGATTTCAAAAAGCTTTCTTGGCCTGGCGTGGTGGCAGTCGCCTGTAATCCCAGCTACTCGGGAGGCTGAGGCAGGAGAGTCGCTTGAACCCGGGAGGCGGAGGTTGCAGTGAGCCGAGATGGCGCCATTGCACTCCAGCCTGGGCGACAGAGCCAGACTCTGTCTCAAAAAAAAAAAAAAATTTCTTTCTTTTTATTTATTTATTTTGAGACAGGGTCTCCCTCCATCATCCAGGTTGGAGTGCAGTGGCGTGATGTCGGCTCACTGTAACCTTCATCTCCTGGGCTCAAGGGATCTTCCCACTTCAGCCTCCCAAATAGCTGGGATTACAGGTGCGTGACCACGCCCAGCTACTTTTTGTACTTTTCCTTGGTAGAGATGAGGTTTCACAATGTTGGCCAGGCTGGTCTCCAACTCCTGGCCTGAAGTCTTCCGCCCACCTCGGCCTCCCAAAGTGCTGGGATTACAGGCGCGAGCCACCACGCCCCGGACCCTCAGAAGCTTTTGGTATACATTTTGTAAATCAAGTAAACGAGTAATATTCAGCTACTTTTCTTACTGCAATTTGAATTTGAGTTTACTGTTTTGGGGAGTGGGCTAAGTGAAACGTGTAAGTGGGAGAGGTTCTGTCATCCAGAAAAAAATCCTGTTTTTCCTGTGAGAATACAGTAAAGAATTTTGAAATCTTGTTTGTGACAGTACATATATTCACTAAATTACTAAAAGCACTTCATAATCTGCTTTATATGGCAGATGCTTTTGTTCTTGAGAATATACTTGTTTATAATTTTAAATATAATTTTGTGATTATCAATCCCTTGAAAGTTATAACTTATCCTTTGCTATGGGTGTTTGTAAGCACTTCTCAAGTAAATAGATGACTTGTGTTAATGCTACCAAGTACTTGGCAAACTTTTTGTGCAAAGTAACCATTTATCAGAAGAAAGTATAAAAACAAAGGGAGAAAAGAGTGTGAGTGGTCAGTTTTAATTTCAAAGCACTTAGGTTTAAAAGTTATACATTACCCCTCATAGGCCAGGCACGATGGCTCAGCCTGTAACCCCAGCACTTTCGGAGGCCGAGGTGGGTGGATCACCTGAGGTCAGGAGTTCTAGACCAGCCTGGCCAACATCGTGAAACCCTGTCTCTACTAAAATTACAAAAATTAGCCGAGCATGGTGGTGCGTGCCTGTAATTCCAGCAATTCCAGCCACTCGGGAGGTAGAGACAGGAGAATTGCTTGAACCCGGGAGGTGGAGGTTGCAGTGAGCTGAGATCACACCACTGCACTCCAGCCTGGGCAACAGAGTGAGACTGTCTGGAAAAAAAAAAATTATACATACCCCTCTTAAAAATTATATTAAAAGCAGAATAGATTGAATAATTAAAATTAAGGATATAGTCCTTAAAGTTGTCCATGAAACAAAAACATCCATATATGATAACAGTTTTCCATTTTCTAAAGAGTTCATTTTTTTAAATCTAGTAATCTTTTCCAAATCTTAACCCATTTGTTGAAAAGCAATATGTATTTATGTACGGGAGACTGTATAAGAGTGGTTAAGAGTGTAGACCCTGGCCTGATTTTCTTGGTTCCCATTTTAACTCTGGCACTTACTAGCAATTTGAAGTTAGTCAAATTATTTGCCCTCTCCTCATGTATCTTCATCCTTATAATTCCCTCATAAGGTTATTGTGGAGACGAAAAAGAATATTCATAAGGTGTAAAGAACAGAGCCTAGCTTCAATAGGCATTTAGAAAATAGTGGGATAAAACCCATAGAACCACCAGCTAAAGACGAGTGTTAATATGTCATCTTTCTAGCCAGTCTTATTTTATGTTTACCTCTATTTTGGATCATAGTGTAGATTAAATTGAGTCTTGCTATTTTTGGTTAACTTTGTAATATAAGCATTTTTCTTTGCTATTGAACATTTCTAGTAAATGTGAATATTCTTGTAATAATATCCTATCTTGTGGACTTATAACATACCTACTTCTATTTTAATGTAATATTTAGGTTAAAAAATGGGCCAAGCATGGTGACTCATGCCTCTAATCTCAGCACTTTGGGAGGCCAAGACGGGAGGATCTCTTGAAGCCAGGAATTCAAGACAAGACTGGGCAACACAGCAAAACCCCTGTGTCTTCAAAAATATTTAAAAATTAGCTGGGTGTGGTGGTGTGTGCCTGTAGACTCACCTACTCAGAATGCTGAGGCAGGAGGATCACTTGAGCCTAGGAGTTTGAAGCTGCAGTGAGCCAAGATCATGCCACTGCACTACAGCCTGGGTGACAGATTGAGACTCTGTCTCTTAAAAAAAAAAAAAAAAAAAAAAAGGCAAAAAATAATATACCTGTACATTTGTATAGTACTTTATAAAAGATTTTTACATTTGTTATTTCTTTAAACATTTATTTGTGCTTAAGAATTTTTTTTTTTCTTTTTGAGACAAGGCCTTGTTCTATAAATGGATAATTGGATATCTCTCTTTAACAACATAGTGTTGGAATAAATAAGAATTTTAGAGTTCTGTGAATCCTGATTTGTTGCTCTAAGAAGTTAACTGGACTCTGAGGCATTTTTTCTAACCAGTTTAGCATTTTAAAATAGGGTATGTGAGAGGTAATATCAGAGTTGCCAGTTATTTTAAAAATGGTTCTAGGCTGGGCACGGTGGCTCAAGTGTGTAATCCCAGCACTTTGAGAGACTGAGGTGGGTGGATTGCTTGAGTTCAGGAGACCAGCCTGGGCAGCATAGTGAGATCCCATCTCACCATACCATGTCAAAAATAAACATGGGTTGTTAATTTAGTATTTAGCTTGTGAAGAGAAAGGCCAGTCTAAAGTGTATGTGTGTGTGTTTTGTAAACCTCTCATAGGTAAGAGGTGTCCCTAATCTGAAACTATGAGATGAAGATTTCCATGAAGAAAATAAGAAAGTGGGGGCTGGGTGTGGGAGCTCACACCTGTAAACTCAGCACTTTGGGAGGCTGAGGTGTGTGGATTGCTTGAGACCAGGAGTTTGTGACTAGCCTGGGCAACATGGCGAAACCCCATCTCTACAAAATTAGCTAAGTGTGGTGGCATGTGCCTATAGTTTCAGCTACTCTGGAAGCTGACGTGGGAGGATCACCTGAGCCTGGGAGGTCAAGGCTGCAGTAAGTCATTATCAACCCACTGCACTCCAGCCTGGGCGTCAGAGTGAGACCCTGCTGTCTCAAAAAAAAAAAAAAAAAAAAAAAAAAAGGAAGGGAATGGGACCAGTTAAGAGGTCCAGTTAGATCCAGTCACCCATTCATTTGCTTAATAAAATTTCTTGAATGCGTATAGTGCTTAAAAATGCCAGATATGTTTGTTTATGTTTTTAAATGTAATTATTGTAACAACTCTGTGAAATAGGAATATCATTTCTATTTTACAGCTGAGGATACAGAGCCTCAAAGAATTTAATCAACCTGCTTGATAGCACACATCTAATAAGTTGCAGATTCAACTTATTAACTCAGTTAATTAAATTTAATTATTATTTTAAAAGTTGTAATTCCCTGGTCTTTTGGCTTCAGGAAAACAATTTTTCCCACCCATTTGTACTTATATCTTTGCTATTCTCAAACATTGATTTAAATTGAGAAAATACCTTTATCTTATAGACGAAATATAAGGAAAAAGAATATAGACAAGCATGGAAAGTGAAGACACAAAGAAAACACAAGGTGAGAAATTGAATCATATCTGCAATGAGTTTTGTATTGGTAGGATATACTGTAGATTATTTGACAGGATTCAGGAAATGAAAGAATCATTCAGCCATTTACATAAATATTGAGCACTACTCTGTGCCTGTCACATAATTTCTGGCTTCAGGAAACTGACATTCCAATGGGAAAAGACATATTGACAATTAGAATTTCACGTGATAGTTGATTTAATGTCAGTGTATACAAGAATAATGGGAACCTGAGAAGACCACCATCAAAGGATGCCCGAAGGTACGGATTTCAGAATTGTTCCCAGAAAGATGGAAACTGAATCCATGGGCATGGAGGAGGTTAACCAGAGAGAAAAGGATGGAGAATAGTGTTCATTAATACACACTGTCATATAAGGTTTTAGCTGAGGAAGAGAGCCCCTAAAAAAAAGTCTGAGAAAAACATTTCAAAAAGGTGAAAAGAGAGTCAGGAATGTGGTATCTTTGAAATCAGAACCTTAAGAGAATGCTTCATGAGAAAGAGGTTGCTTAAGAGCCTAAAATGTCAACTGTCACAGCTGAGGACTGAATTTTCCACTGCATTTTGCATTTAGGATGTGATTTGTTATGTTAACGGTAAACTTAATAGATTTTAACCAGATTGCAGTCTGTTTATATTTGAGTGGAAAATTAAGATCTGAAGACACAGTATGAATTGCTTATCTTTAAGAGCTTGACTAAAAATATATGATCAGCCAGGTGTAGTGGCTCACTCCTATCATTCCAGCACTTTGAGAGGTCAAAGTGGGGGATCACTTGAGCCCAGGAGTTTGAGTCCAAACTGGGCAACACAGTGAGACCTCATCTCTACAAAAACAATTAAAAATTAACTGGGCGTGGTGGTACACACTTGTAGTGCCAGCTACTTGGGAGGCTGAGGTGGGAGGATCACTTGAGCCTGGGAGGTCAAGGCTACAACGAACCATGATCGCACCACTGCACTTAAGCCTTGGTGACAGAGCAAGACCCTTTCATTCATTCATAAATAAATAAATAGTAAAATACATGGCAGTAGCTAGAGGAAAGTTGTAATGTCAAGAAAGTGTTATAAAAGACAGGAGAATTTCTGAAGAGGGAATGGAGATTCTGGAGAGGGAGAAGTTGAAAACTGGAGAGAGAGGAGATAACTGTTGGTGATACCCCTCTCAAATCATTTATAAAACCTCCAACCTCAGTCCCACATCTCACTCTCTTCCATTTTAAGTCTTTAGGTTGCTCCCAGAAGTAGACTGTGAGATAAAGATTTGAGTGCAAGTACCTTTTTTCAGAAAGTGATCCCAGGAAACACTAGCTGGAAAGTGGGGAAATGAGACAGGAGAAAGAAGACAGAGAATATGTTATCAAATAAGTTATTATTATGGGTCACTGGAGCTTAAGCCCACTGGGAAACTCTGGGAGCCAGTTTAGAGTCATGTCCCTGAGAGTCATCCCAGCCAAGGGGTGAGAGTATTTATCTGTCAGCTCCCATCAGTCAATTGTTTAGCAACAGGGTGAAGTGGTATCTAATTGTGGTTTTGATTTGCATTTGCCTAATGACCAGTGAATGTTGAGCATCTTTTCATATACTTATTGGCAATCTATCTTCTTTGGACAGATGTCTATTTAAATCCATTCCACACTTTAGATTGTGATTTTAGTATTACGTTTTAAGAATTCTTTATCTGTTCTGAACACAAGCCCCCTATTTATTTGGATAACAGATTTTCAGATTTTTTTTTCTAGACTGGGCTGTTGTTCTGTGTTCTCGATAGTGTCTTTCGAGGTATAAAGGTTTACGATTTTAAGTCCAGTTTATCAAATTTTCTTTGATTGCTTGTTTTTTGTATTCCCTTCAGAATTTGCTTGTTTATTTTATTCAGTAGTTACTGAAGGAACTAGGTTATTTTGCCTAGAGAAGATAAAAACCAAGGTGAAATATGATAGTTGTGATGTCAGGAGATGCTTTGGCTGGGAAGGGAAGGATTATGATAGGAGATATCAAAGTATGAGAAAGGCGTACAGAAGGGAATGGAGGAGTACGTAAAGAAGTTTCTTGCAGACCAGGCATGGTGGCTCACGCTTGTAATCCCAGCACTTCGGGAGGCCGAGGCGGGAAGATGGCTTGAGCTCATGAGTTCGAAACCAGCCTGGGCAACATGGCAAAACCCCGTTTATAAAAAAAATACAAAAATTAGCCAGGTGTGGTTAATTTTGTATTCCTGGCTACTCAGGAGGCTGAGGTGGGAGGATCCGTTGAGCCCAGGAGGTTGAGGCTGCAGTGCCCTGTGATTGCACCACTTCACTCACTTGAGCAATAGAGTGAGACCCTGTCTCAAAAGAAAATAGAAGTCTTTTGTATCCTGCCTGCATTGTGCCTAGAACTGAAAATCATTATGCTCCATCAAAAATTTTCTTCGGCATGTTGTTGATGTGGCTTATTGGTATCCATAGAGTCAAACTTACCTTCTTATGGTATCTGTTAGTGTACAAAATGATAAATAAATATTTGCTATTGCTAAAAACATCTTAGTGATAACCTTTGTACTATGGTTTTCACTAACAAATTTTGTCATGAATTATTTCATTGAAACAAATTGACATTTGAATTTCTTTCAAGAGTGAGACTATGGCCGGGCGCGGTAGCTCATGCCTATAATCCCAGTGCTTTGGGAGGCCAAGGCAGGTGGATTGCCTGAGCTCAGGAGTTCGAAACCATCCTGGGCAACATGGTGAAACCCTGTCTCTACTAAAATACAAAAAAATTAGCTGGGCGTTGTGGTGCGCATCTGTAATCCCAGCTACTTGGGAGGCTGAGGTGGGAGAATTGCCTGAACCCAGGAGGCAGAGGTTGCAGTGATCCAAGATTGTGCCACTGCACTCCAGCTTGGGTGACAGAGTGAGACTCCATCTCAAAAAAAAAAAAAAAAAAAAAAAAAACCAGGCCGGGTGCAGTGGCTCATGCCTGTAATCCCAGCATTTTGGGAGGCCGAAGCAGGTGGATCATGTGAGGTCAGGAGTTTGAGACCAGCCTGGCCAACATGGTGAAATCCCATCTCTCCTAAAAATACAAAAAATTAGCCGGGCATGGTGGTGGGCACCTGTAATCCCAGCTATTTGGGAAGCTGAGGCAGGAGAATCACTTGAACCTAGGAGACGGTGGTTGCAGTGAGCCGAGATTGCTCCACTGCACTCCAGCCTGGGCAAGAAAGCGGGACTCCATCTCAAAAAAAAAAAAAAAAAACCCACAAAACAAAGAGTGAGACTAAGTACTATATTGATTGATGATACATCTTAATTTCTCTTAGTGTGCTCCTCTATATTATATCCATCCTTCATCCTATATCTTTCAGAACTCTTAGCTTTTTTTCATTTTGTTTTTTTTTTGAGACAGAGTCTTGCTCTTGTTGCCCAGGCTGGAATGCAATGGCCCAATATCGGCTCACTGCAACCTCTGCCTCCTAGGTTCAAGTGATTCTCCTGCCTCAGCCTCCTGAGTAGCTGGGATTACAGGCACCCACCACCATGCCCGGCTAATTTTTGTATTTTTAGTAGAGACGGGGTTTCAGCATGTTGTCCAGGCTGGTCTCGAACTCCTGACCTCAGGTGATCTGCCCGCCTCGGCCTCCCAAAGCGCTGGGATTATAGGTGTGAGCCACTGCGCCCAGCCTACTACTCTAAATGTACTTCAAGCAGTATTTCAAAATCTATATGCCATTTGACTTAAATCCTTAAAATCAAGAGAAGAAATTGTTTTTAAGACTGTACTAAAGAACTTTATAGGAAAATAGTTGTCTATTGTTTGCTGTTTAGTTATAAACAAAATGTTTACATTTTGATAAAGCTTGGTATAGGTATGTAGCCGTGCAGCCATCAGCAAAATCAAGATAGTGCATGTATCCTCCTGCTCCTTTGTAATCCCTACCTTCTTTGCTTTCCTAGAGCCTTTTTTCCCCAAGCACTCACTAATCTGCCTTCTGTTACTATAGACTGTTTGCATTTTTTCTGTACATAGAATCATACAGTATGAATTCTATTTTATATGGCCTCTTTCACTCAGCATAATTATTTTGAGATTCATCCGTGTTGTTGCATGCATCTATAATTCTTTTTTTATTGCTAAGTATTCCATTGTATAGTTATACCATGATTTGCTTATCCATTCATCTGCTGATGGGCATTTTGATTGCTTACACTTCTTAGCTATTACATATAATGGTGCTGTGAACATTTGTATGGACATATATCTCCCCTTTTTAGGGTAAATACTTAGGAGTAGAATGGCTGAATCAAATGTAGGTATACATTAACAGTTTATGAAACTGCTGATCTGTCTTTCAAAATCTTCGTACCATTTTACATATTCACCAGCAGTATATGAGAGTTCCAGTTCCCACGTCCTTGCTAACATATGAAATGATCAGTCATAAATTTTAGTTGTTCAGTGGGCATGTAATGGCATCTCCTTGTGGTTTTAATTTGCATTTCCCTAATGACTAATGATATTGATAATATTTTCATGTTCTTATTTGCCATCTGTTTATCTTTTTTGTTAAAGTGTGTTCACATCTTTTGCTGTTTTATCTGGTTGTTGGTTTTTCTGTTGCTGAGCTTTCATAGTTCTTTATATTTTCTAGATATATGTTGTTTTTTTTGAGACAGTGTCTCACTTTGTCACCCAGGTTAAAGTACAGTGGCACAATCATAGCTCATTGCAGACTCCAACTCCTGGCTCAAGCAGTACTTTTTTGTTGTTGTTGAGACAGAGTCTCGCTCTTGTTGTCCAGCCTGGAGTGCAGTGGCCCGATCTCAGCTCACTGCAACCTCTGCGTCCCAGGTTCAAGTGGTTCTTCTGCCTCAGCCTCCCAAGCATGGGGGATTATAGGCACCCACCACCCCACTCAGCTAATTTTTATATTTTTAGTAGAGATGGGGTTTTACCATGTTGGCCAGGCTGATCTCAAACTCCTGACTCAGGTGATCTGCCCACCTTGGCCTCCCAAAATACTGGGATTACAGGCATGAGCCACTGCTCCTGGCCTCAAGCAGTCTTCTACCTCAGCTTCCTGAGTAGATGGGACTACAGGCACATACCACCACGCCAGGCTAATTTAAATTTTTTTTTTTTTTTTTGCATAGATAGATCTCACATTGTTGTCCAGACTGGTTTCAAACTTTTAGCCTCAAGAGATACTACTGCCTCATCCTCCCAAAGTGCTGGGATTACAGATGTGACCCATTGTGCCTGGCCCCATATTTTTTTTGTTTGTTTTTTAATTGACATACAGAATATACACTAGATGACTACATGTTCTTTATCAGATATGTTCTTTGCAAAGATTTTCCAGTTTGTGGCTTGTCTTTGCTACGCTTTAGAAGACACTATTAAAACAATGAAGTTTTTAATTTTATGAAGCCTAGTTCATTATTATTTTGTGGGTTTTGCTGTTATTGTAATATCTAGGAAATCTTTGCTTAACCCAAGGTTACAAAGATTTTCTCCCATGTTTTCTTTTAAAAGTTTCATAGTTGGCCAGGCACAGTCTCGGGAGACTGAGACAGGAGAATCTCTTGAACCCAGGAGGTGGAGGTTACAGTGAGATGAGATCGCGCCACTACATTCCAGCTTGGGCGACAGAGCACGACTCCCTCTCAAAAACAAAATTAAAAAAAAATTCATAGTTTTAGATTTTACATTTAGATTGCATTCCATTTTGAGTTGATTTTTGTATGTGTTTCGAAGTATGAATTCAAGAGTTTTTGTTGCTGTTGTTTTGAGTATGGATATTCAGTTGTTCCAACGCTATTTGTTAGCAATGACTTTGTAAAAACTCATGGGTTTGTGTAGGTTTATTTCTGTACTGTCCTGTTTCATTGATCTTTTTGTCTATGCTGATGGCAGTGCCACACTCGTTTTATTACTGTAGGGTTTTTGTTTGTTTGTTTTTAGATAGCATATCGCTTTGTTTGCCCAGAGTGGAGGGAGTGCAGCAATGCGATCTTGGCTCACTGCAACCTCCACCTCCCAGGTTCAAGCAATTCTCCTGCCTCAGCCTCCCGAATAGCTGGGATTATAGGCACGTGCCACCATAACTAGCTAATTTTTGTATTTTTTAGTAGAAATGGGGTTTCACTGTGTTGGCCAGGCTGGTCTCAAACTCCTGACCTCAAGTGATCCGCCTGCCTCAGCCTCCCAAAGTGCTGGAATTACAGACGTGAGCCACTGTGCCTGGCCTACTGTAGGTTTTTAAAGTCTTGAAATAGGGTAGAGTTAGCCCTTTGGCTTTATACTTCTCTTTCAGTGTTGTCTGGCTATGGTAAGGGTTTTGCATTTCCATATGAATTTTGACATCAGCTTGTCAATTTACACACACACACACACACACACACACGCACGCACGCAGCCTGCCGGGATTACATTGATTCTATAGACCAATTTGGGAAGAATTTACATCTTAACAATATTTAGTCTTTTGACTCATGAACATGGCATATAATGGCATTTATTTTGGTTGTCTTTAATTTCTCTCAGCAGTATTTTTTAGTTTTTGGTGTATGTCTCACCTCTGTTGTCAATTTATCCCTAAGTATTTCAATGCTATATTATAAATGGGGTGGTTTTTAAAATTTCAGTTTCCATTTGTTTATTGCTAGTATATAGAAATACAGTCATGTGCTGCATAATGATGTTTCAGTCAACAACAGACCTCATATAGGACAGTGGTCTTATAAGATTATAATGGAACTGAAAAATTCCTGTCATGTAGTGACATTGTAATATAGTAAGCACAACACATTACTCACATGTTTGCAGTGATGCTGGTGTAAACAAACCTACCATACTGCCAGCTGTATAAAACTATAGCAAATCCAGTTATGTGTAGTACATAATACCTGATAATGACTCTGTTACTGGTTTATGTATTTACTACACTATTTATTGTTGTTTTAGAATACACTGCTTCTACTTATAAACAAAAATTTTGTGAAACAGCCTCAGGCAGGTCCTTCAGGAGGTATCCCAGAAGAAGGGATTGTTATAAGAGATGGCAGTTCCGTGTGTGTTATTGCCCTGAAGACTTTCCAGTGGGACAAGATGTGGAGGTGAAGGACAGTCATATTGATGATCTTGACTCTGTGTAGGCCTATGCTAATGTGCGTGTTGTGTCTTAGTTTTAATAAAGTTTTTTTAAAAGATAAAGAAAGATAGGCCAGGCATGATGACTCACACCTATAAATAATTGCAGTGGTTTGGGAGGCCAAGATGGGAGGATTGCTTGAGGCCAGGAGTTTGAGACCAGCCTGGGCAACATAGTGAGACCCCCATCTCTGTAAAAAAAAAATTAGCTGGGTGTGGTGAAGTTACAATAAGCTAAGTTTATTTTATTATTGAAGATATTTTAAAAATAAATTGAGTAGTCTAAATTTACGGTGTTTATGAAGTCTACAGTAGTGTACAATAATGTCCTAGGCCTTCACATTCACTCGCCACTTGCTGATGCACCCAGAGCAGCTTCTGGATATACCTTTTAAAAAAATCTGTATTATAGCTTTTCTATGTTTAGATATACAAAAATTTGCCATTGTATTACAATTGACTATATTATTCAATACAGTAACATGCTGCGTAGGTTTATAGCCTAGGAGCAATAGCTATACCATACAACCTAGATGTGTAATAAGCTCTACCATCTAGGTTTGTGTAAGTAAGGTCTATGATGTTAATACAATGATGAAATCACCTAATGATGCTTTTCTCAGAATGTATCCCCATCATTAAGCAACATTTGACTGTATAATCTATTTTTATGTATTAAAGAGTTATCTGGAAAACTTAGTTCACTTATTCTAGTAGCTTTCTGTAGATTCCATCAAATTATGTGGAAGATCATGTTGTATGCAAATTCAAGTACTTCTTTGCCAATTTGAGTGCCTTTTATTTCTTACCTGACGGCACTGGCTATGGGACATAGGAGTGGTGATACGAGCAAACATCTTTGTCTTATACCTGGTTTTAGAGAGAATATATTCAGTCTTTCCCTGTTAAGTATGATGTTTGCTGTAGGGTTTTCAACTGTAGATGCACTTTGCCAGGTTGAGGAAGTTCCTTTCTATTCCAAATTTGCGGAATATTTTTCTTTAATCAGGAATGCATGTGGGATTTTATCAGATGCTGTTTTTACATCCATTGAGATGACCAAAGGTTTTCCTGTTTTGTTACATTGATTTTTTTCAAATCATAAATCAATCTTGTATTTCTGGGATAAACCCACTTAATCGTGATGTCTTTTTATTTTAATATATTGTTGGATTCATTTTGCTAAAATTGTTTAGACTTTTTGTGTGTATGTTTGTGAGGGAAACTGGTCTGTAATTTTCTTGCTAATGGCTTCTGTTTTGGTATAAAGGCAATACTAGCCTCATAGAATAAGTTGGGAAGTATTCCTTCTCTTAAACTTTTGAAAAAATTTGAGTAGAATTTATATTATTCCTTCCTTAAATGTTTGGTAGAATTTGCAAATGAAATCATCTGAACCCAGAGTTTTCTTTGTGGAAAAGTTTTTAACTCTTAATTCAACTTCTTTCATAGACATAAGACTATTCAAGTTGTCTTTTTCTTCTCGGGTGAGTTTTGGTGATGTAATTTCACCTAAGTTGTTGAATCCATAGGTGTGAAATTGTACATAGTACTCCCTTAATATCTTCTGAATATCTGTAGAATGTGGTAATGCCATCTCTCTCATTTCTAATATTGGTAATTTGTGTCTTTACTCCTTTTTTCCTAATTCATCTGGCTAGAAGTTTATCAGTTTTGTTGCTCTTCTGAAAGAACTTCCTCTGTATTTGTTTTCTGTTTCACTGGTTTCAGCTTAGATCTTTATAATTTCCTTTCTTGTACTTATATTGGGTTTAATTTGTTCTTTTTCTAATTTCCTAAGGTGGTAACAGATGTCGTTGATCTGAGACCTTTCATCCTAAATACTGCTTTCATAGCATCCCACAAATTCTCATATGTTGTATTTTCATTTTTATCCACTTTTTTTTCTAAATGACAGATATTTAAACCAGTGTAGCTTTACTTAAAAAGAATAATATTATGACTTTCTATTCCTATATTTATAAAAAGGGAAACTCAAAGAACTATAAGAAGTTCATTTTAAGTTCTTTTATTTAAAGAACATCTTTAGGCCGGGCGCGGTGGCTCACGCCTGTAATCCCAACACTTTGGGAGGCCGAGACGGGCGGATCACGAGGTCAGGAGATCGAGACCATCCTGGCTAACACGGTGGAACCCCGTCTCTACTAAAAATACAAAAAATTAGCCAGGCGCGGTGGCGGGCGCCTGTAGTCCCAGCTACACAGGAGGCTGAGGCAGGAGAATGGTGTGAACCCGGGAGGTGGAGCTTGCAGTGAATGGAGATCGCGCCACTGCACTCCAGCCTGGGCGACAGAGTGAGACTCTGTCTCAAAAAAAAAAAGAACATCTTTAAAAAAATACATGGTTGTTGGATTATAAAAGTAATACATGCCTATTACTTTAAAAGTTGACCATTCCAAAGATATGTATTTAGTAAGTGAAATTTTAATGGTTAGTTTTTGAAATAAACTTTTTGGTTTAAAATAATGACATTTTTGTTCTTTAGAAATGAAGTTTTTGAAATAAACTTTTTGGTTTAAAATAATGACATTTTTGTTCTTTAGAAATGAAGACTGACCTGAACTTATTATTGGAGTGTCTAAAGTATCAAATGGACAATGCTTTTTCACAAAAGGAAGCTTTGGTCACTATTCATTCAATTTGTCAACAAAACAGTAAGATATAATAGTGAATTTTTATCTGTGATTCTAGTTCTTTAGTACTATGATATATCAAATAAGCATAGTTCTTTATCTTCCATTCATTTATTCTACATATCATGTTACTGTCTTCATGTGATTTATTTTATCCATGAAAGGATATTGAAAATAACTATCATTTCTATTTTGTTTTTTTCTGCACATCCTACAGGTAATGCAAGTGTTTATTTTCGGGAAATTGGTGGTTTGATGTTTGTAAAAAATCTTGCAAAGTCAAGTGAACATAGCATGGTAAAAGAAGCAGCCTTATATACATTAGGAGCTATTGCAGAAAAAAATGGTAAAATATAAAACTTTATTTCATTATACTTTAAGCATTGTGTTATATTTTAACAGTATACTCAAAACTAATTTTTTAGTTAATTTCTTTTCTTTTTTTTACATGTTTGAATAATTTTTATCCAGCCTCCCTCCCCTCTCCCTTCCTTCCTCTTTCCTTCCTTCCTTCCCTTTCTTTTCTTTCTTTTCTTTCTTTCCTTTCTTTTCTTCCCTTCCCTTCCCTTCCCTTTCCTTTCCTTTCCCTTTCCTTTCCTTTCCTTTCCTTTCTTTTCTTTCCTTTCTTTTCTTTTCTTTCTTTCATTTCTTCTTTCTCTTTCTCTCTTTTCCCTTCCCCTCCCTCCTCTCCTTCTCCGCCCCTCCTTTCCCCTTTCTTCTTCCCCTCCCCTCCCTTTTTTCCTTCCCTTCCCTTTTCCCTGTCCTTTCCTTTCTGTTTCATCTTTCCAGATCAAAGGATGAAGATAACCCACAGCCATGTAATGTGTGGGTATAGAAATTCATGTTGGCAAGAACACTTTTCTGCAGGGTATCTAAAATGAGGTTGAATATAAACCATTGGTTTGTCAGACCAACTTTATATTCTGATATTTTTATTTATTAAATATTTCTTCATCAGCCAGGCGCATGGTGGCTCACACCTATAATCCCAGCACTTTGGGAGGCTGAGGCAGGTGGATCACTTGACCTCAGGAGTTTGAGACCAGCCTGGGCAACATGGTGATACCCCATCTCTACCAAAAATACAAATAATCAGCTGGGCATGGTAGTATGCACCTGTGGTCCCAACTACTTGGGAGGCCGAGGTGAGAGATTACTTGAGCCTGGGAGGTGGAGGTGGCAGTGAGCCAAGATTATACCACTGTACTCTAACCTGGGCGACAGACCACAGAGTAAGACCCTGTCGCCAAAAAAAAAAAAAATCACCTTTTAGGAAGCAGTCTTTGTGCAAGGCATTGGGGATACAGGGATAAGTAAGATATAGTCGTTGAATTTTTTTTAAAAAAATTTAATGTTTGTGTCTATATAATAGGTGTGTATATTTATAGGGTACATGAGATGTTTTGATGCAGACATGCAGTGCATAATCACATCGTGGAGAATGGGGTTTCCATCCACTCAAGCATTTATTCATTGTGTTACACAATCCAATTATACTGTTTAGTTATTTTAAAGTGTACAGTTAAATTATTATTGACTATGGTTACTTTGTTATGCTATCAGATAGTAAGTCTTAGTCATTCTTTCTTCATTTTTTTTTTTTTTTTTGTACCATACCCACCACCTTCCACTACCCTTCCCAGCCTCTGATAATCATCTATCTCCATGAGTTCAATTGTTTTGATTTTTAGATCCCACAAATAAGTGAGAATATGTTTGTCTTTCTGTGCCTAGCTTAGTCCTTGCCTTTGAGATAGGGTCTAATAGCTGGTTCTAGGAACTGGATAAAATGTTGATTGTATCTTTATGTCTATATTATTTTTGTAAAATTCTGCCTGTTGCATTAGGACACACACAAAAAAACTATCAGATAGTATGATTCTTGAAATGATTTTTATTTCTTGGAAAGTCTCAAAACATATCTCAAATATTGTTTGTCCCTCTGTTTTCTAAAGCAAGTTTCTGAATTTTCTTGAATTGTTTATCTTGCTATGTTTTGTTACTCATCCTGTAAAGTGTTTTTTTTTTTTTTTTTTTTTTGCTAAATTTTATTTAATTTTTTATTCAGATAAGTTTTTTATTGTGAATTCTAGGGGATTTCAGTATGTGTTTTGGAGCCTAGATTAAGTACTTTTAATTAATATACTGCTGCTTTGGTCTGCTAATTGAGTAAGCACATATCACTTTGTCAGAAATTTAGTTGTATGACTAATAAATATCAATTACATGAGATTTGGTTAAGAACCATCCCCAGTTAGGTAATTTTTTATTTTGTTCAGTATATTTTAAAGCATGTTTGTGACAATGCATTGAAATTAAAATTATATTTTATATTTCAGTTTACTGTCAGCAGACTTTGTGTACTTCAGAGTTATTTGAAGACTTAACTTGGTTCTTATCTAATGATTCAAACATAAATTTGAAAAGAATGTCTGTTTATGTTATTTTGGTTCTGGTTTCAAATAATAGTAAGTACATTCTCTTATGAATATTTGAAAACATTAATCAATTGGAACAGCCATTATTAATTTTTTATTTGAGTTCTTATATCTTTTTTTTTTTTTTTTTTGGAAACAGAGTCTCGCTGTGGCACGCAGGCTGGAGTGCAGTGGCATGATCTCGGCTCACTGCAACCTCCGCCACCTGGTTCAAGTGATTCTTCTGCCTCAGCCTACTGAGTAGCTGAGATTACAGGCACATGCTATCATGCCCAGCTAATTTTTGGATTTTTTAGTAGAGACAGGGGTTTCACCATGTTGGCCAGACTGGTCTCAAATAGTGCTGGGATTACAGGTGTGAGCCACTGCTCCTGGCCCAGTGTCTTTTTTTAACCTCACCTCTGAGAAATACTAGTTTAAAGAAAGGTGGATTATTAGCATGTATTTAATAATTCAATACTTATTAATTTTAAGAAATAATAAAGTTATTTATAGTGCTTAGCATTGAAAGGTAACAGGTTTAAAGAGAAAAAGAGAGGCATTTAATGAATTAGTTTAGTTGATTTTCTGCTGAATTGACCATTTAGTTACAGTGTTTACAGTATAAACCAGTGATGGTTTTTATTTTGGAATAATTTTAGATTTACAGAAAAGTTGCAAAGATAATATGTTCCTGTATACTTACTGCTCAGTTATTTTTTAACTTTTTAAAATTTTAATTCTTCAAATTGTTAGAAATTCTGTAAGCATTTAAAATGTTTCTAGGCCAGGTGTGGTAGATCATCCCTGTAATCCCAGCATTTTGGGAGGCCAAGGTGGGAGGATACCTTAAGCCCAGGAAACCAGCCTAGGTAACACAGTGAGACCTTGTCTCTACAAAGAAATTAAAAAAAAAAAAGAAAAAGAAAAATTAACTGGGTGTGGTGGCACACACCTGTACTACCAGCTACTTGGGAGGCTAAGGTGGGAGAATTGAGTGAGTTCTGGAGGTTGAGGCTGCAGTGAGCTGTGATCAAGCCACTGCACTCCAACCTGAGTGACAGAGCGAGACCCTGTCTCAAAAAAGAGAAACGCTTCTCGGTAGGCACGGTGGGTCACATCTGTAATCCCAGCACTTGGGGAGGCCAAGGCGGTGTAGCCCCTTTCCTATGTCACCCAGGTCCCAGCACAACAACCATATTCAGTACCAGCAGACTCTCTCATGCCACCCTTCCTGCTAGAGGGGAAATGGTATGGGCATCAATAGAGGGGGACGTCTAGGTGGTTGTAGAGCTCAAGGCCCAAACCCCCAGCGTGTTGGGTGGGGGTGGGGCAGCCTCAGGGAAGCTAGGCATCAGGTTGTATCCTTTGAAGCGGAGGAGTCAAGCCTTACCTTCTTCTGCTAGCAGTGGCTGGTCCCTCACCCCTCTAGTCCTCTGCTATTGTTTCCATGGGGAGGGTCACAGACCCAGGCACAATGCTAGTCTGAGCAGGCTCAGGCAATTCAGCTAAGCCTCTTGCCAGAGAGGCCTGAGGAGTCGCCTTCTTGCCAGGTGTGCACTTTAAAAAAAATGTTTCTAGATTTTATTTTGGAAAAACTAGAAAACGTTGAATTTATTTATTTTTCCATTTTGGAACTTATCTTGATACTGTAACACAGAACCATGATGCAAAGTAAGAGTTTTGTAATTTTTAGAGGAAATTTGAATGCAATTAGTCTCTAAGCAGTAGTGACATATTTTTCATAATAATCTTGATTACAGATTTTTATCCACAGTAATTCTATATTATACTTTGTAATACTTTAAAGTTGTTTAAAAGTTATTTATTTATTAAAATGAAACTTAACTGTTATTCATTTCTGCAAGACTATTTGTAAATAAAACTCATATTTTTATATGGCTATTTTTTTAAGGGACCGGACAAACACTTGTGAGAGAAACAGGTTGTATTACAGTTCTGTCACGGTTATTCAGGTAAACAAATACAAATTTCTTTTTGTTAATTATTAATTACTTAGGACCTTAATACATTTGTATTAATTTACATTTTTTTTCTTTTTAACCTAATAGGACAGTTATTTCAAAATATGAGTTGGATTTGTCAGATAAAAATGTTTTCCAGAGTTATCAGTTGTGGTCTTCAGTGTGTAGTACTCTGTGTGTCTGTGTCAACAATCCTCAAAATGGTAACTATCTGTAATGTTTAAATATAAAAATAAAGATAAAAACAAATGAAAACTGATGTTTTCCAATTGTCATATTAAATCATGATTGACTTTGTCTTCTTTCAGATGAGAATCAAATGTTTTGCTGTTCACTTTTTCCACATGCTAATGAATGGCTAAAAAATTGCATGAAACCTGAGATAATTCGCCCTATTTGCTCATTTATTGGACTCACTCTTGCAAATAACAGTAAGTATTCATTATTTTCTAGGTCATAGTTGAAGAAACATTTCAAAGCATAATAAAAACTATTGAATTTATTATTGAATCAATTGAGTTCTTGTAATTTGGGTTATTTTGGATGTATTTAGACTCTTAAAGATAAGAAAATCTGAAAAGTGGATATTTTTAGGAGGATATTGGGAAGATGGTGGTAGCAGCATCGTTTTTTAAATCTCCCCAGATACTCTCATGAAACGGAGAAACCAAATAGCTAGACTAAATACCCATAGAGTGTGTTCTCTGATCACAAGGTAATTAAATTAGAAATGAATAAAAACAAAACATCTAGAAAAGCCCCAAATATCTGGTAATTAAACAACTTGTACTAAAATCCATGAGTCAATGCATAAATCATAAGGAAAATTATAAAATGTTTCTAACTGAATAATAATGAAAATACAACATTAGGCCGGGCATGGTGTCTCACGCCTGTAATCCCAGCACTTTGGAAGGCTGAGGCAGGCAGATCACTTGAGGTCAGGAGTTCGAGACCAGCCTGACCAACATGGTGAAACCCTATCTCTACTAAAAATACAGAAATTAGCTGGGCATGGTGGCAATAATCAGCTGGGCCGGTGGCAGACACCTATAATCCAAGCTGCTTGGGAGGCTGAGGCAGGAGAATCACGTGAGCCCAGGAGACGGAAGTTGCAGTGAGCCACAATCGCACCATTGCACTCCATCCTGGGCAACAGCAGAATGATACTGTGTCTCAAAAAAAAAAAAAAAGCCAGACGCAGTGGCTCACACCTGTAATCCCAGCACTTTGGGAGGCCGAGGCGGGTGGATCACTTGAGGTCAGGAGTTTGAGACCACATGTTGGCCTGACCAACATGTGAAACCTTGTCTCCACTGAAAATACAAAAATTAGACGGGTGCCTGTAATCCCAGCTACTCAGGAGGCAGAGGCAGGAGAATCTCTTGAACCTGGGAGGTAGAGATTGCAGTGAGCTGAGATCACGCCACTGCACTCCAGCCTGGGTGACAGAGTGAGACTCTGTCTCAAAAAAAAAAAAAAAAAAAAAATTAAAAGAAATCTGTGTGATGCTGCAAAACAGTGTTGAGAGGGAAATTTATAGTATTAAGGCTTGTATAAGAAAAGAAAGGTCTCAAGTCAATTATACTAGCTTCTGACTGGGTGTGGTGGCTCACACCTGTAATCCCAGCACTTTGGGAGTCCGAGGTGGGGGAATCACTTGAGGTCAGGAGTTCCAGACCAGCCTGGCCAACACGATGAAACTTTGTCTCTACTAAAAATACAAAAAAATTAGCCCGGTGTGGTGGTGTGCACATGTAATCCCGGCTACTCGGGTGGCTGAGGCAGGAGAATCGCTTGAACTTGGGAGGCAGAGGTTGCAGTGAGCCAAGATCATACCACTGCAGTCCAGACTGAGCAACAGAGAGAGATTCTGTCTCAAAAATAAATAAATAAATAAATAAAAAGTCGTATTAGCTTCTACCTAAGAAATTAGCAAACCAAGCAAGTTAAAATAAGCATAACAAAGGAAATAATGAGATTAGAAATCATGAAATAGAGAAAAGCACAGAATAGAGAAAAATAATTGAAACATGAGCTAATTCTTTGAAAAGATCAATAAAAGTGATCCTCTAGCCAGACTGATCACAAAGTAATGAGAGAAAGCTCAGATTACCTGTGCCAGGAGTGATAACTTCACTATAGATCTTAATAGATATTAAGAGTAATGAAAGAATAGTAGAAACAGCTTTATGTCATGACATTTTACAACTTAGATGAGTTGGACAAATTCTTTGAAAGATACAAACTACCAAACAAAGCTCACCCAAGAAGAACTAGTAACCTGAATACTCCTATATCTGTTAAAGAAGTCAAATTTGTAGTTTAAAAGCTTAACACAAGCCTGGGCATGGTTGCGCATGCCTGTAGTCCCAGCTGTTGGGAGACTGAGGTGGGAGGATCACTTGAGCCTGGAAGTTCAAGGGTATAATCTGCTATTATCATACCTGAGAATAGTCACTGCAGCCTGGGCAACATAGCAAGAACCCACCTCTTAAAAAACAACAACAACAAAAAACAAACAAACAAAAAACAATGCAAAGACGCAAAACAAAACCTTAGCTTAGGAAATTCCAGGCCTTAATGGTTTCATTGGCGAATTCTGCCAAACATTTCAGGAAACAAACCAATAATTTCACATAAATTATTCCAGGAAATAGAAGTGGGATAAACACTTCCCAACGTGTAAGGCCAGCATTACACCGACATCAGAACCCAGAAACAACATTACGAGAAACTGTTGGCTAATAGCTCTAGAACATAGATGTAAAAATCCTTAACAAAATATTAACAAATCTAATTCAGCATATGGAAAAGAATACATTATGACCAAGTGGCATGTATCCCAGGAATGCAAGATAGGTTTAACATTAGAAAATTCATCATATGTACAGTCTAGAAAAGAAGAACAATATGATAATTTCAATAGATGCAGGAAAAGCATTTGACATAATTCAACATACATCTGTAAACTCATGGTAAACTAGGAACAGAAGGAAACTTCCTTAATGTGATAGGACCTCTACAAAATACTACAAGTAGCACACTTAATGGCGAAAGACTTAATGTTTTCCCCTTGAGACTGGAAAAAAGATAAGAGGCTAGGTGTAGTGACTCATGCCTATAATCCCAGCACTTTGGGAGGCCGAGGCAGGAGGACCACTTGAATCTAGGAGTTGAAAACCAGCCTGGGCAACATAGAAAGACCCTGTAGCTACAAAAATTTAAAAACTAGCCAGGTGTAATGATTCACACCTATAGTCTCAGCTACTTGAGAGGATTGCTTGAGCCTGGGAGATCAAGGCTGCAGTGAGTTATGATTCTGCTATTGCACTCCAGCCTGGGCAACAGGGAGATCCTGTAACACACACACATACACCAGAAATAAAAAGAAAATAAATTAATGATATATATAATACTCTGGATTATAAGACTCAACATTGTAAGAATGTCACTTTCAAATTCATCTCTAGATGCATGGAATTCTCAAGCAAAATCCCAGCAGATATTTCTGATTCCAACTTACATGGAATACAAAGGGCCTATGATAATTGAAACTTTTGGGGAAAAAAGGATAAAACCGTAGGACTGTGTTGCCTGATTTTAGTACTTATACAGAAATCAAGAAAGCATGGCATTGGTGTAGGTATAGACTTACAGATTCTTTTTTTTTTTTTTTCTTTTTTTTTGGTGACAGAATTTCACTCTTGTTGCCCAGGCTGGAGTGCAATGGTATGGTCTCGACTCAGTGCAACCTCCACCTCCCAGTTTCAAGTGATTCTTCTGTCTCAGCCTCCCAAGTAGTTGGGATTGCAAGCACCCGCCACCATGCCTGGATAATTTTTGTATTTTTAGTAGAGATGGGGTTTCACCATGTTGGCCAGGCTGGTCTTGAACTCCTGATCTCAGGTGATCCTCCCACCTTGGCCTCCCAAAGTGCTGGGATTACAGGCATGAGCCACCACACCCGGCCTTGTAGACTTACCTATTAAGGAAATAAAAGTGAGAGCCCAGAAATAGACTCATACATATATCATTGTTGATTGTCTACAAAGATGCCATTGTCATTCTGTGGAGGAAAAGATATTTTCAACAAATAATGCTAGAAAAAGTGGATATCTATATGCAAAATATGAATCCGAACCCTTATACAGTATACAAAAACTAACTTGAAATAGTTCATAGACTTAAATGTAACAGTGAAAAATATAAAACGTGGACAAAAGCAGAAAATTCTCACAACTTGGGGGTAGGCAAAGGTTTCTAAGGACACAAAAAGCATGAATAACTAAAGAAAAAATGGTATATTGGACTTCATTGAAATAATTTTGCTCTTCAGAAGAGCTTGCTATGAGGATGAAAGGTAAGCTAGACTGAGAGAAAATATTTGAGAACTATTTATCTAATTAAGAATTTGTACCCAGAAACTTGTAAATAGCTCTTATAAATCGATAAGAAGACAAAAGCAACCTGATGATTAAAAAAGTGGGCAAAAGATTTGAACAGATACTTTAGCAAAGAAGATGTGAATATTAAATAAGCACTTGAAAAGATGTTTAAGATTGGCTGGGCATGGTGGCTTTTACCTGTAATCCCAGCGCTTTGGAAGGCCAAGGAGGGAGAATCGCTTGAGCCCCGGAGTTTGAGACCAGACTGGGCAACGTAGTGAGACCTTGTCTCTACAAAAACATTTAAAAAATTAGCCAAATATGGTGGCATGCACCTATAGTCCTAGTTACTCAGGAAGCTGAGGCGGGAGAATCACTTGAGTCCAGGAGTTCAAGCTTACAGTAAGCTCTGATCACACCACTGCACTCCAGCCTGGGTGACAGAGCCAGAGCAAGACTCTGTCTCAGGGAAAAAAAAATGCTCAAGAAGTAATTAGTTACCAGAGAAATCCAAATTAAAATCCCAAAGAGATATTACTACACACCAACTAGCATGTTAAAAATAAAAAGTGATCATGCTAAATATTGGCAAAGGATGTGGAACAACTAGAACTTTCACACATTGCTAACGTATATCTATAGTCAAGTGTTTGAAACAAATACTCGTGTCACATGCAAAGGATATATCTCTAGAATTAAAAAAAAAATTGGAATCTATTTCCATGATACCCTGACAGTCCCTTTATCTCTAAAAGCCAGCTTTAGTGAGTGATAGTTATAGGACTTCATTACCTTCAGTGAACTACAGATTAGAGAAAATCTAAAATATTCAGTATACAGTAAATGTGGTCTAGGATGTTCTTCTGCTTATATGCCTGAGTTTTTGTCACTTAGGCTATAACTAAGAATCTGTGGTAACACACTGCCATTTTCATCTAAGCATTAACAAATGCCTTTTTTTTTTTTTTTTTTTTTTGAGCTAGAGTCTTATTCACTCTGTCACCCTGGCTAGAGTACAGTGGCACAATCATGGGTCACTGCAGCCTCAAACCTCTGGGCCTAAGCGATCCCCCTGCCTTAGCCTCTTGAGGTGCTGGGACTACACGCACACACCACTGAGCCTGGCTAATTTTTACTTTGTTTTTTTTTTTTTTTTTTTTAGAAATGGGGTCTCACTATGTTGCCCAGGCTGATAATGAACTTCTGAATTCAAGCAATCCTCCTGCCTCAGCCTCTCAAAAATGCTAGGATTACAGACATGAGCTACTACCACATCCAGCCTCTTTTTTGAAGATTTTTAAAAAGTGAAAATACTTTCTAGTAAAGAAGTCTATTTTGGAGCCACCATAATATTGAAAGTGTTTGCCTGCCCTTAAATAATGTTTCTGGGCTGGGTGCCATGGCTCACGCCTGTAATCCTAACAGTTTGGGAGGCCGAGGCAAGCAGGTTGCTTTAGTTCAGGAGTTCGAGACCAACCTGGGGAACATGGTGAAACCCCGTCTCTACCAAAAGTACAAAAATTACCTGGATGTGGTGGTGCACGCCTGTAGTCATTAAAGGCATGAGCCACCATGCCCAGCCCAGAATTATTTTCTTTTTTTTTTTTTTTTTTTGAGACAGAGTCTGGCTCTGTCGCCCAGGCTGGAGTGCAGTGGCCAGATCTCAGCTCACTGCAAGCTCCGCCTCCTGGGTTTACGCCATTCTCCTGCCTCAGCCTCCCAAGTAGCTGGGACTACAGGTGCCCGCCACCTCGCCCGGCTAGTTTTTTTTTGTATTTTTTAGTGGAGACGGGGTTTCACCGTGTTAGCCAGGATAGTCTTGATCTCCTGACCTCGTGATCCGCCCGTCTCGGCCTCCCAAAGTGCTGGGATTACAGGCTTGAGCCACCGCGCCCGGCTGCCCAGAATTATTTTCAACTAGGAAACAGAAGACTTCAGATTTAGAAAAATAGATACCGGTCATTGAATATTTGCTTGGAATAGTTGTTATGACTCTCAGGGATGTGTTATAATTTTATGCTCCAAGAAGTAAAAGAATTAGGTGTAAATATGACAGATGAGATGTATGCTCTTTTAGAACAGTTAAATTACTTTGCATCTTGAGGAGTCAAACAATCTGAGGAATTAGTTATGTTGGATTGCAGAAAATAGGCAGCTTGCTAATTACCAAGATAAATGAATGAATATATTCTTTATAACTCTATTGAAATACTTGTTTAATATTGTTGAGGGATAGGTTTCTTTTTGGTTTTTTGTTTTGTTTTTGTTTGTGTTTTGAGACAGAGTCTCACTCAGTAGTGTTAGCTCAGCTCATTGCAACCTCTGCCTCCCGGGTTCAAGTCGTCCTCCTGCCTCAGCCACCTGAGTAGCTGGGATTATAGGCGTGTACCACCACGACCAGCTTAATTTGTAATTTTCTTTTTCTTTTTTTTTTTTGAGACGGAGTTTTGCTCTGTCACCCAGGCTGGAGTGCCGTGGCGCAATCTCGGCTCACTGCAAGGTCCGCCTCCCGGGGTCACGCCATTCTCCTGCCTCAGCCTCCCGAGTAGCTGGGACTACAGGCGCCCACCACCACGCCCAGCTAATTTTTTGTATTTTTAGTAGAGATGGGGTTTCACCGTGTTAGCCAGGATGGTCTCGATCTCCTGACCTTGTGATTCGCCCATCTCGGCCTCCCAAAGTGCTGGGATTACAGGCGTGAGCCACCGCACCCTGCCTGTTTTTTAAGTTTTTAGTAGAGATGGAGTTTCAGCATGTTGGCCAGGCTGGTCTTGAACTCCTGACTCAAGCAGTCCTCCTATCTCGGCCTCCCAGAGTGCTGGGATTACAGGCGTGAGCCACCATGCTCGGCCCAGAGGGCAGCTTAATAATGCCATTTTTACAAAATAGAGCAGTTCTTACTACATGAAACAAAAAAGATTTCTAATACACAAGAAATACTGTACTATACATATAGTTTTACTATGTCAAAGTAAGGTACTTACGTAAATAAATAATCTATTTTATGATTATGTATATGCACAGGTAAAGATTGGATTTTTAATTCTTTAATTTTGGGATTTTTAGAAAGTATTTGTTTTTTTTTTTGTTGTTGTTTTTTGTTTGTTTGTTTTTGAGACAGAGTCTGGCTCTGTCGCCCAGGCTGGGGTGCAGTGGCCGGATCTCAGCTCACTGCAAACTCCGCCTCCCGGGTTTACGCCATTCTCCTGCCTCAGCCTCTGGAGTAGCTGGGACTACAGGCGCCCGCCACCTCGCCCGGCTAGTTTTTTGTATTTTTTAGTAGAGACGGGGTTTCACCGTGTTAGTCAGGATGGTCTCGATCTCCTGACCTAGTGATCCGCCCGTCTTGGCCTCCCAAAGTGCTGGGATTACAGGCTTGAGCCACCGCGCCCGGCCTTTAGAAAGTATTTGAAAAGACCAAGTTAGTGTTATATTTAGTGCAAATTAATTGAGTAAAACCATTCAGCTGTCTTGTTTGAAATATTAATAGTTTTGCTACTTTATTCTTTAAGCATATGTTCAGAAATACTTCGTATCTGTGGGTGGACTGGATGTATTGTCTCAAGTTCTCTTGCGACTGGAATCTGATTCACATGAGACTCTTTCCAGTGCTAAACTTGCAGTGGTTGTGACAAAGACTGTGGATGCATGCATTGCTGATAATCGTGAGTGACAGTGCTTACTAGTTTTTTTGAAATTGAATTTTCTTTGAATATAGCATGAAGAGTGTTAAAATAGTAGATTGAACAGTAACATGGTTTAGACTAACAGTTTCTCACAAGTGGAAGGCAATATTAGAAATTATCCAACATGGCCAGGCTCAGTGGCTCATGCCTGTAATCCCAGCACTCTGGGAGGCTGAGGCGGGCAGATTGCTTGAGGTCGGGAGTTCAAGACCAGTGTGGCCAACATGGTGAACCCTTGTCTCTACTAAAAATACAAAAATTAGCCGAATGTGGTGGTGGGTGCCTGTAATTCCGATTACTTAGGAAGCTGAGGCAAGAGAATCACTTGAACCCAGGAGGTGGAGGTTGCAGTGAGGGAGCTGAGATCACGCCACTGCACTCCAGCCTGGGCAACAAGTGCAAAACTGTCTGGAAAAAAAAGGCAACATTAAATTAAAAATTTCAGGCTGTGTATGGTGGCTCACACCTGTAATCCCAGCACTTTGGGAGGCCAAGATGGGAGGATTGCTTAAAGCCAGGACTTTGAGACCAGCTTGGTCAACATAGCAAGACTCCATCTCTCAAAAATAATAATAATAATAATAATAATAATAATAATAATATTCAGATGAGAAACCAAGGGATATTTTTGAGATTAAGGAATGGAAAACCCAATTTATGTAAAGAATACATCTCTTTCTGAGAGATGTATCTCTTTCTGAGAGATGTATGAGGTTGGACTTACCCAACACAGCATTACTAGTGAGTGGCAGAACCATACTTGAACTCATGGCTGCTGCTTCTCACATGTGCAAACACTGAAGAGTAAGAAACTCTGTTGGTATTCACAAACAACTAGGGGGCAAAAAATAGATGGTTTTTTAAAAAGCGGTTATTGAGGGCCTGCTATGTGCTGAGCTTTACAAGTACAAAAATGACTAAGATGTAGTCCCTTGAGGAATTCACAACTTTTTTGTGGATATTAATATTGTTAGACTCTGGGTGAATTCTGTTGAAAACCACATTTGGAGAAATATAGCTTAAAATGGTGGACTTTTTTTTTTTTTTTTTTTTTTTGAGACGGAGTCTTTCTCTGTTGCCCAGGCTGGAGTGCAGTGGTGTGATCTTGGCTCACTGCAAGCTCTGCCTCCTGGGTTTAAGCGATTCTCCTGCCTCAGCCTCCTGAGTAGCTGGTACTACAGGTGCCCACCACCACGCCCGGCTAATTTTTTTTGTGTGTTTTTAGTAGAGACGGTTTCACCGTGTTAGCCAGGATGGTCTCCATTTCCTGACCTCATGATCCACCTGCCTTGGCCTCCCAAAGTGCAGGGATTGCAGGCGTGAGCCACCGCGCCTGGCCAAAAAATAGAGGACTTTTTGACTTTTGTCAGTCGCAGCATAGCTTCGCATAAGCTTCATTGTAAGCAAAACTGTGGTCAGTTAATAGTGTATTTTAAATGACAGCAGGAACTGATTATGTAGGAAAGTCTTTACTATCCAATCTAGATAAGAAGAGGTAGGTAAGGGGAGAGTAAGCATACTCAGCTTTTAGGAAGTTAGTGGTACTTCATCTTCACAGCATTCTGCAGAACAATTAAGAAAAAAAATTCTTCGAAAAATTTGCTTTAGTAATATGTCTTTAGTATGGGAAGAAAGAGTAATGAGGGTTATAGTAATAAGCAACCATCTTATTACAATGAATTTATTTATATTTTATTTATATTCACACATACACATATTTATTAGATGTTATCATATGTGTATATTTAATGTTATATAGATATATAACATTCTATCTGAATAAGCTGAAAAATGTATATATACATTTATAAGTTTTAAATTTGTACTATCTTTTTTTTCTATTTTATACTAATAGCTACTTTTGGGATAGTACTCTCCAAGTACCACATTGTTTCAAAACTTCTGGCATTACTGCTTCATGAAAGTCTGGATTCAGGAGAAAAATTTAGCATCATGCTTACTCTTGGTCATTGCACAGAGGATTGTGGTAAGTATTAGATTTATTGTGTGTGGTTATTAAAATAGTAGAGTGGAAATATACTTTTTTTTTTTTTTTCCTTCCAGTTATGTGAAGGTCTTAAAAGTATTGCTTTTCTCCTAGTTATTCAGACCTCAAACTAATCATTTCAGCTTCTAATTCTCCTTCACTCATTGTATTAAGTCAGTCATTAAGACCTGTAGTTCTACTTCTGTTTACCCCTCTTGATCCCTTTCTGTCCAGTTCCAATGCTGCTTTATTACAGTAGGCCCTCAAACCCATATCTTTCATCAATATTATTGCAGTGGTTTTCTCACTGCAGCACAGGGAGAAAGCTCCTTCCCTTCTATCTTCATTTTTCAGTCCACTCTGCACATTGCTGCACAAATCTGATTCTGTTCTCCTTGTTAAAACTTTCAGAGATTCTTTCTTTTTCTACCTATTACTGTCTTCTCTCTCTTTTTCTTCTCCCCCTTTTACTTTCCTCCTCCTCTACTTTCCTCCCATTCTCCCTCTGTTCAATCTACTCCTTCTTACCAATTCTCTCCACTTTCCTGTCTACCCCTCTCTCTTCTTCTAATCTCCTGTCTCTGCTCTTTCAGCTCTCACTTTTCCACTCTCCTCCCTTTGCTCTCTCTGGCTTCTCCCATTCTTTCTTCCTTCCCCTACACTTTCTACTCCCTCCGTTAGTTTATCTATTCTTTCCCTTAACTTCTGTGTAATTTAGGATTGATTATACCCTTTTTCAAACCAAGTGAGGGCAGTTTTACCCTTATGAGTTATGATACTACTCTGTGGCTGCATTTCAGAGATCACTTATGAGACAGGTATTTTGTGTAAGTGAATTTTTTTTTTTTTTTGAGACGGAGTTTTGCTCTTGTTGCCCAGGTTGGAGTGCAATGGCACAGTCTTGGCTCACTGCAACCTCTGCCTCCCAGGTTCAAGCAATTCTCCTGTCTCAGCCTCCCAAGTAGCTGGGATTACAGGCATGCACCACCACGCCTGGCTAATTTTGTATTTTTGGTAGAGATGAGGTTTCTCCATGTTGGTCAGGCTGGTCTCGAACTCCCGACCTCAGGTCATCTGCCTGCCTCGGCCTCCCAAAGTTCTGGGATTACAGGCACGAGCCACCAAGCCCGGCCTTAAGTGAATTATTTTCTATATTAAAAATCCTTTTGGGGGCTAGATGTTGTGGCTCACGCCTGTAATTCCAGCACTTTGGGAGGCTGACATAGGCAGATCACGAGGTCAGGAGTTCGAGACCAGCTTGGCGAGCATGTTGAAACCCTGTCTCTACTAAAAATACAAAAAATTAGCTGGACACGGTGGTGTGCACCTGTAGTCCCAGCTACTCGGGAGGCTGAGGCAAGAGAATTGCTTGAACCCGGCAGGCGGAGGTTGCAGTGAGCCGAGATCACGCCACTGCACTCCAATCAGAGTGACAGAGCGAAACTCCCTCTCAAAAAAAAAAAAAAAAAAAAATTCCTTTTGAAACTATGTGTTTCTCTATTTTAAAAATTTGTTGTTGTCGTTGTATTTTTGTTTTTTGAGACAAAGTCTCACTCTGTTGCCCAGACTGGAATGCAATGGCTGGACCTTGGCTCACTGCAGCCTCCACCTCCCAGGTTCAACTCAATTTCCTGAGAAGTTGGGATTACAAGTGCCTGCCACCATGCCTGGCTAATTTTTTTGCATTTTTTGTAGAGACCGGGTTTTGCCATGTTGGCTAGGCTGGTCTTGGACTCCTGACCTCAAGTGATCCACCCATCTCAGCCTCCCAAAGTGCTGGGATTACAAGAGTGAGCCACCGTTCCTGGCCTATTTTTAAAATTTTGAACTATGTTCATAATTATCACAAGGAAGAATTACGACCTCATATAGATAGTTTATGATAAAATCATTGTCCTCTTTAACTGTGTGTTTTCCAGAGGAAAATCAGTATGACCTTTTTAAAAACAATGGACTTCCACTCATGATTCAAGCCTTAACTGAATCTCAGAATGAGGAACTGAACAAAGCTGCCACATTTGTGCTTCACAACTGCAAAAAAATTAGTAAGTGTACTATTACTTTAAGAACATACCAACCAAAGTTTATAAAGGGGAATTTATATCTGCTTTCATGAGCCAAGGCCTTTTAGCTCTCAGATTCTTTTTACATTTGAAAAGCAGAGTAGACCCTGCACAGTGGCTCATGCTTGTAATCCCAGCACTTTGGGAGGCCAAGGCAGGCAGATCGCTTGAGTCCAGGAGTTCAAGACCAGCCTGGGCAACATGGAGAAACTCTGTCTCTATTGAAAAAAAAAAAAAAAGAAAGAAAAAATTATCTGGCCTGGTGGCACACGCCTGCCAGCTACTTGGGAAGCTGAGGTAGAAGGATCATCTGAGCTCAGGAAGTGCTCAGGTTGAGGCTACAGTGAGCTGTGTTTGCACCACTGCCCTCCACCCTGGCTCATATAGTAAGACCCTGTCTCAAAAAAAAGTCAGAGTGTATAATTTGGACATGACAACTAGGGTATATTCAGCATATACAAACCCATGTGGAAGAGAGCAGCAGTATAGATAATTCACTATTTTATGCCGTGTGCGCAAATTTAGTTTGCAGGAATTAAATTTGTGGACTAAGGGTTATTTATTGTTAAATTGTAAGTACATTTATTTATTTTTAAATGTCTGGGCTGGGCGCGGTGGCTCATGCCTGTAATCCCAGCACTTTCAGAGGCCTAGGCAGAGGATCATGAGGTCAGGAGTTTGAGACCAGCCGGGCCAACATGGTGAAACCCCATCTCTACTAAAAATACAAAAAAAATTAGCCAGGCATGGTGGCGCACACCTGTAGCCCCAGCTACACGGGAGGCTGAGGCAGAAGAATTTATTGAACCCTGGAGGCAGAGGTTGCAGCAAGCCGAGATCATGCCACTGCACTCCAGCCTAGGCGACAGAGCAAAACTCCGTCTCAAAAAAAAAAAAAGTTTGAGTTTCTGTTATGTGCCGGGCAGTGTACTAGGCATCAGGGACATCAGGGATACAGTGATTAAAAAACAGTCTGTGTATTCACAGAGCTTAGTTTAACTAGAGAAATAGACAGTAACTCAAAAAATGAGATTATGTGTTATTATAAATTGACATAACAAGTATAAAGGGATAGACCACAGGTCTTTAATAGCCTATAACAAAGAAATCTGGTCTAGACATGGAGCAGAAAAGGCTTTGGGAGGAAGTGATTCTTGAGCTGAGAACTGAATGTCTAGGGTTAATTAGGTGAAAAGAAATGAATTTGTTATCAGCGAGCATCTCAGGCATAAGCAACAGTGAGGCACAAAGGCCCTGTGATAGGAGGGAACCTGGTGCACTTAAGGAATTGATGGCCAGTGTAACTTGAGCTCAGAGGGCAGTGGCCATGATAAGAATTTTGATCTTTGTGGAAGAAAAACTGCAGACACAGTAGGTTAAAAAAAAAAAAAAAAAAAAAAGATTATAGGAAGGAATCAATTTATGAACATTGTTTTTTTAAAAAACTACTTTATTTTTGAGACAAAGTCTCACTTTGTCACTGGGGCTAGAGTGCAGTGGTGCAATCTCTGTTCACTGCAGCCTCTGCCTCCTGGGTTCGAGGGAGTCTTGTGCCTCAGCCTCCGGAGTATCTGGTATCTGGTACTACAGGTGCGTGCCACGATGCCTAGCTTTTTTTTTTTTTTTTTTTTTTTTTTTTAGGAGAGGCGGAGTTTCACCACATTGGCCAGGCTGGCCTTGAGTTCCTGACCTCAAGTGATCCTCCCGCCTCAGCGTCCCAAAGTGCTAGGATTACAAGTGTGAGCCACTGTGCCTGGCCTAAAAAGCTAACTTCTTTAAAACCAGTATGCATGTACCTGAGAGCGTTTATGTGCCTGGCATAACATATTTGCATGTTTTTTCTCCTGTAACTCTGAAGAGTAAAGTCTAATTTATGACTCTTCTCTTCCACTTACTTTTCAGTACTAATTAAGCTGTTAAGATAGTCTGGATGGAAAAATTTAGAGAAAGGAGAGGGTGGGGTGTGAGGTTGTCCTTACATATAAAGTGTTTAAATAACCCTTCATTCATTGTGTTTTTCCCATATTACAAAGCTGAGAAATTATCTCTAAGTCTAGGAGAATATCCTTTTGATGAAAATGAAACACAGCAATTAAAGGACATAAATGTGAAAGAGAAGAATCTTGAAGAGCACTGGAGGAAAGCAAAGGAAATTCTACACAGAATAGAGCAGCTTGAAAGAGAAGGAAATGAGGTTGGATTCTTTGTTTTAAATAATATATAGAACTTTTTTCACATTTTAAAAATGTCTTTTTTTCTCCATACTACAGTGACATATACATTTAAAAAAAATTTTTCTGAGACAGAGTCTTGCTCTGTTGCCCAGGCTGGAGTGCAGTGACGCGATCTTGGCTCACTGCAACCTCCGCCTCCCAAGTTCAAGTGATTCTCATGCCTCAGCCTTTCAAGTAGATGTGCGCCACCACACTCGGCTAATTTCTTTGTATTTTTAGTAGAGACAGGGTTTCCTTATGTTGGCCAGGCTGGTCTTGAACTCCTGACCTCAAGTGATCTGCCTGCCTTAGCCTCCCAAAATGTTGGGAATACAGGTGTGAGCCACCATGCCCAGCCGATATTTTTTAACAGTAGAGATTGGAGGGTAAAAAATTTTTTCTTCCCAAGTTGTTTTTTAAAGTTTTAAATAGAAAACTCCATAGTAATACTTGAAGAATCATGCTTTGACATAAAACAAAAAAAAGATTTTTAAAAAGTAGAAATGATGACTGAAAAGACAGGAAACATGGAATATTGAGCCAAGAGATCTAACATCTGAATAATTGGGGTTCAAGAAAAGAGAAAAGTAGTAATAATCTAATAACCTCTTTCCTCTCTATATAAATATATTTATGTATGCATGCTTTATGTCTTTGTATATGCATATATTTAAATAAATAAAAACATAGTGTCCAAGTTAGTATAATATAGTGATTTTATTATTTTAATTGAGTAGTATTCACTGTTGCAGATGTGCCATAATTGATTTAACCAGTCCTTTATTGATGGACATGTAAGTTATATTTAAATTTTTACCATTGCAAACAACTCTAAATACCTGCTACACATGTACCTGTGTGTGTGTGTGTGTGTGTGTGTGTATTCTGTAACAGCTTTAATGATATATAATTCACAAACCTTACAGTTCACCCATTTAAAGTACAGTCAACTCTTGGTATCTATGGGGGATTGGTTCCAGGACCTCCCACAGATCCCCAAATTCATGGATGCTGGAAACTTTAGGGGAAGTTTAGGCAAGTTATTTAATCTCTTTGTGCTTTAGTTTCATCATTGATAAATGGAGAAAATAATAGTACCTCTCAGATACCTAGATAGACATAGTTTTTATTATGAAAGATACTGTCAAATTGTTTCGCCACAGAAGTTATATCAACTTACACTCCCACTAGTAATGTTTAAGAGTACATATTTAGCCACAGCCTTTTGATCTTTGTCAGTGTAATAGATGAAGAAAAATATCTCAGTGTAGCTTTAATATTTATTTATCTCAAGTGGGATGGAACATTTTTTCTTGTGTTTAAGAGCTATTTATATTTCCTTTCCTATAAACTATCTGTTCATCTTCTGTGCCTGCTTTTCCATGCTATCGTTGATCTTTTTCATATTTCATTGTAGTAACTTTTTATAAATGTTATTTTAAAAAATTATCCTTCAGCTTGGGCAACATGGCAAAACCCTGTGTCTACAAAAAATACACAATTAGCCAGGTATGATGGTGTATGCCTGTGGTCCCAGCTACTCAGGAGACTGAGGTGGGAGGATTGCTTCAGCCCAGGAAGTCGAGGCTGCAGTGAGCTGTGATCATTGCCACTGCACTCCAGCCTGGGTAACAGAGCAAGACCCTGTCTCAAAAAAAAAAAAAAAAAAAAAAAAAAAATATATATATATATATATATATCTCCCGTTGCTTAAGATATGCTTTATACATATTATTTCTGGGTGTTTTGATTGTCATTTGGTTTTGCTTCTGGTTCTTTATTCCTGAGATCCCTGCTCAGAGTAACGTTTTTGATCTCTAGCAGAATTAAAAAAAAAAATTTTATGTGGTTGAGTATATTAGTTTTCTTTTATTATTTAATTTTGGGTAATACTTTGAAAGGTCTTATACCCCTTGAGAATATTAAAATATAATGGTTTCTTTTAGAACATATATAACTTTATTTTTGTATTTAAATATATTTGTTTCATTTTGACTTTATGTTTGTATAAGCTGTAAGATATTCAACTTATTTTTTCACCAGATGGCTACTCAGTTGTCCCAATATCGTTTAATGAATAAACTCCCTTTTCTTCCTAATGTAAACTGTCTTTTATCATATATGTTCTATTGGTAATCATAAACTTTTTCTTCATTCTTCATTATTTAAATGAAGTATAAATTGGGTTATAAAGGGAATGCATTATATTGAAATTATTTTCTTGTCATTTTTACACTATAGGAAGAAATACAAAGAGAAAACTGTCAGGATAATATTTCATCTATGAACATGAGTATTCAGAATACATGGAAACATCTCCATGCAGATCATATTGGTCGAGCTACCAAAGCAGAAGATGAGGATAAAAGCCATTCTAGACAGTTTCAGAGTTATAAGTCCCATGGAGTCATGTCTAAAGCATGTACAAATGATGACCAAATGAAGACACCATTGAAGAGTGCAAATCCAGTCCATGCTTGTTATAGGGAGAGTGAGCAAAATAAGTCTTTATATAAAGCCAAGTCAAGCTGCAATCAAAACTTACGTGAAGAAACTACTTTTGAAAAGAATTTTATTTCTCAATCAAGGTATACTTTAATAATTATGTGTAACTTTTATTTATTCAGCGAGTATTTATTGTGTACTACAGTATGCCACACTGTTAAATACCGGGCATATAGAAATGACATGATGAAACACGGTCTTGGGAAGAGCGTAAAGTAGGAAGTGTTGGGAAAGGAGTTTGGATGGGGAGGTATGGGCCAGTTCATCTAGAGCCCTGCAATGTCATACTCTGGATTTTGGGGTTTAACTCACAGGGTATAGGGAGTGATTGAGGATTTTAAATTAAGTGGCGTAACATATTTGAATTTTAGAAAGGATACTCAGAAAATAAAACCTAAACGGAAACCCTTTACTTGAAGTAACAATGCATGCATTGATAATCTATCAGCAGTATAGCAAAAACTAGTTTTTAAATTTAATGTGATAAAGGGAATAGGATGTGAATAAAATTTGGTTTGGGTTTGCCCTTTTGTTTGTTCCCTGCACTTTGTCTCTAGAACATAGTCTTTTTCCCTTGCAGTTAGTTTGTGGGGCTAGACCCGGGATTGTAGCTTTTCTTAAACCCTTTACTGGGTTGTGCTCTTCTGATGGTTACAGTACTTAGGAAAAATGAAGGGGATGCTGCTACATTTTGGACAGGTTGAAGGGTAAACTAAGTACCAAGAAGAAGGGTTACATCAATACCACCCCTTTTATCTGTTTCAAGACCATTCTTGATGTTAATTTTAACTTGATTTCTCAGGTATGGGAATTGGGAAGCAGTAAGATATGGTCCTGGGCCAGCCTTCTTGACCTTCATCCTAAGCTTTCCACACCCATAGCCTTCTTTCTTCTATAGGGTTAGCCATATTTCCTTTTTTTTTTTTTTTTTTTTTTTTTTTTAGAAAGAGAGAGAGAGAGAGAGAGAGTTTCACTCTTGTTGCCTAGGCTGGAGTACAATGGCGCGATCTCAGCTCACCGCAACCTCCGCCTCCCAGGTTCAGGTGATTCTCCTGCCTCAGCCTCCTGAGTAACTGGGATTACAGGCATATGCCACCACGCCCGGCTAATTTTTTGTATTTTTAGTAGAGATGGGGTTTCTCCATGTTGGTCAGTCTGTTCTCGAACTCCTGACCTCAAGATCTGCCTGCCTCAGCCTCTCAAAATGCTGGGATTACAGGTGTGAGCCACTGTACGCGGCTAGGGTTAGCCATATTTCTACCTCAGCCAAGTTATTAATATTTTCATCTCTTTGAAATGCTTTTTTCCTCCTACAAATATATGTACATAGACAGATAGCTGTAATTATAAAGCTACTGCTATGCCTGCTACCTGATCTACAGTTCTTGCCTTTTTCTGTACTATTATCATTGTGACAGTATAATCAAAACTTGTATTTATTCATCAAGGACTACAGGGTTCAAACACACAAATGTTTTGGGGGTTAGGAAGGATTTTTAAATTCAGGTCTTTAAATGATTATTGTTAGCACTTTGCCATCCTGCACCCATGTTCATTTTTGCTCCCACTGATTTTGTTCTCTCCTTTTTGCCTTCATCTCTCCTACTTCCTTCTTTTTATAATCTTTTTCTTCCAAGTTTCATCTGGCATCAATACTATTGCCCTCTGGAGTCTTATTTGACTCTAGCTGTAGAAACAAGGCTTTAATTGTTGCAGACCCTACTTTGGCAGAATTTGGTAGATTTTGGTCGATCATGATTCCAGGTTGCTTTTGCCCATAAAACTCTGAAAATCACAACACTGCTTACAGAAACATTGGTCCACATACCAAAGAGTATGTTTACTTTTAGTAATCTGGTGTCTATTTTCTTTTAGTGACCATGTTTTTAAACACCCAGTTCACATTGCCAAAAATATAAAGCAGCAGTTACCAGTAACAGGTATGATTAAAAATGTTTCTTTGGTTTTTCAATAAAACAGATATTTAGGTAACCATATAGCTAAAAATGTACATTGGCTGAGGGCAGTGGCTCATGCCTATAATTCCAGCACTTTGGGAGGCCTAGGTGGGCGGATCACCTGAGGTCAGGAGTTCAAGACCAGTTTGGCCAACATGGTGAAACCCCCATCTCTACTAAAAATACAAAAATTAACCAGGCGTGGTGGTGGGCACCTGTAATCCCAGATACTCAGGAGGCTGAGGCAGGAGAATTGCTTGAACCCGGGAGGCAGAGGTTGCAGTGAGGTGAGATCACACCACTGCACTCCAGCCTGGGCAACAGAGTGAGACTCCATCTCAAAAAAAAAAAAAAGTCCATTGGTATATTGGCCCTCTAAAGTATAAGCCATACTTTTGACTCTTTCTGTTGTAAATGCCTTCTATTAAGATCCAGAATCTTTCTGTTTATTCACCAGCATGACTAGAGGCATAGTACTAGGCTAAGGTTTATGAAAAGCTTGATATTTAATAAATCCTTAAAATATCTGATTCTTTTCATTAATCCAAAAATCCTTCATTTTGCAATTTTTTTCCAGATCCATTTACATTATGTTCAGATATAATAAATAAAGAAGTAGTCAGTTTTCTAGCAACTCCCAGTTGTTCCAAAATGTTGACGTATAGGTGCTCAGGTAAGTATTTTTTAAATTGCAGTTGTTTCACAGTAAAAGCCTTTTATGATATTAATTAACTACAATTTTTTTTTTTCTTGATACGGAGTCTCACTCTGTCACCCAGGCTGGAGTGCAGTGGCAAGATCTTGGTTCACTGCACTCTCCATCTCCCAGGTTCAAGCAATTCTCGTGCCTCAGCCTCCCAAGTAGCTGGGATTACAGGTGCTCGCCACCACACCTGGCCAATTTTTTTTTGTTTTTTTGTTTTCGTAGAGACAGGGTTTCACCATGTTGATCAAGCTGATCTTGAACTCCTGACCTCAAATGATCTGCCCGCCTCAGCTTCTCAAAGTGCTGGGATTACAGACATGAGCCACTGCGCTTATTGTAATTAAGTAGAATTTATAATAATTCTATGCATAAGATTTACTTTGTTCCCTTTGGAGAAATAATATTATGGAGTATCAAAGCATTCAAATTAATATCTTCTATCTGGGCCAGGTGAGGCAGCTGTAATCTCAGCACTTCGGAAGGCCAAGGCTGGAGGATTTCTTGAGGCCAGGAGTTCAAAACCAGCATGGTCAACACAGCGAGACCTTGTCTCTGTAATTAAAACAAGACAAAACAAAACAAAACAAAACACCTTTTATCAGCATCAGGCTGAGCTTCCAATATTTGTATGTATGAATCAACACAGTTAGTACCTTTTTATTACTTTATTATCTTTTTGTCATAATACCATCTATATATTTAGCCTTACTGAGTAAACATTTTTTAATGTTTTCAGAGAACCAGTTATTACTAGGTATGCATTTTGGATTATCCTGTAAACATAGGCATTAAGTTTTTAAAATACCTATTTTTATATTTATAATATGTAAATGTTTCTAGTGTTTCATGTCCATTATTTATTTTTTCTGCAGGGCTCTTGTAAATGTTCCACAATACTTATTCCATCCCTTCTCCTCCTCCTTCACACCCCGGTATTTTCTCTTTGTTCATCTTGCTGTTGTACTCTGCTCTATGGATGAAATTGAGGTTCTCTGTATTCGGCTCAGAACATCATTGTTCTTCCCTCTTGGATGAAGAGGTTATCTCTATTCCTCTAAAACTGATGTGTAGCCATAAGCTGAATCCCATATCTTTTTTTCCTCCACATTTTAATACTAATTGCAAAATCTTTCTCTTTACTCCCATTCTATTTATTAACTCCTTTTGTTCCACCTTGAACTATGCTCGTTTCTCCTCATCTCAAAAAAATACCCAATAGAGCCGGGCACGGTGGCTCACGCCTGTAATCCCAGCACTTTGGGAGGCCGAGGCGGGCGGATCACAAGGTCAGGAGATCGAGACCACGGTGAAACCCCGTCTCTACTAAAAAATACAAAAAATTAGCCGGGCGCTGTGGCAGGCGCCTGTAGTCCCAGGAGGCTGAGGCAGGAGAATGGCGTGAACCTGGGAGGTGGAGCTTGCGGTGAACCAAGATCGCGCCACTGCACTCCAGCCTGGGGGACAGAGCGAGACTCCGTCTCAACAAAAAAAAAAAAAAAAAAAAAAAAAAAAATACCCAGTAGTTTGTTTGATTTGCTATCCTTTCAAGTATTCATTCACTCCTCCCAACAGATGCACATATCCCATTAGAAAGTAAATGTATTAGGCTGGGTGCGGTGGCTCATGCCTGTAATCCTAGCACTTTGGGAGGCTGAGGCGGGTGGATTACCTGAGCTCAGGAGTTCAAGACCAGCCTCGTCAACACAGTGAAACCCTGTCTCTACTAAAATTCAAAAAATTAGCTAGGCATGGCAGCATGCGCCAGTAATCCCAGCTACTCGGGAGGCTGAGACAGGAGAATTGCTTGAACCTGGGAGGGGGAGGTTGCAGTGAGCTGAGATCATGCCATTGCACTCCAACCTTGGCAACAGAGCAAGACTCTGTCTCCAAAAAAAAAAAAAAAGAAAATGTATTTAATAAGAATAAAGTACAAATATTTCTTTCAATTTAATTGTATTATTTTTTAAAAGGCTACTAAGTTGTTAGAACATAAATACTTATTAAGTTGTTTTGGATCTGACAGAATCATTAGGCATTTCTTTTGGCTTATAGGTGCCATGAACCTAGAAAGTTTGGGAATCTCTGGTCAAAAGTATTCTAGGTGGCAGAGTGGATGTTCTGTAACTGCTAACCCCCTTTCATCTCTTAGTTTGTATGAGATGGTTCTTTCCTGGTTACCATTCATTCATTCCACAAACATTATGGAGTGCTTAGTCCTTGGCTGGCACTGGAATCTAAGATGAATAGAACTCAGTCTTCACCTTTATCTTTCTCTTCCTGCCAGATTTCCACATGTATTCTCCTCAAGACCTAGTCTATAGCACTTACTCAGTTCTTTCACTACATTTACTTTTGTAGCATCATCTATCATTTTATTGATGGTTTTCAAATATGTATCTTGACTTTTGGCTTCTAACCTGGGCCTTATTCTTTTATTTCCAGTAGTTCTCAGCACATACCCACTTGAGTATCTTCTTGTTACTTTAAGCTTAATATATCCTAAACACAACATCCACAGCATCTTTCTTCCTTTTAAATTGGCCTCCCCACTCACTGCATTTCTGTCAGTGTTGCCACTATTTGTCTGGTCTCCCAGACTTTAAGCCTTGAATCATCCATGACTGTTCTCTCTCATTCCATCCATTATTTCTAGTCTATCAAATTTTGTTCTTTTTTGCCACATAGGCCCTTTTCGTTTCATGCCTAAATTATCACAGCAATTTTATCTAGCAGTCTTTGTCTTAAGCATATCCAACTCCCAACTATAATATGCATATCACTGTTAACTTATCTTCTTAATATGTGCTTTATCATGTCATCATGCTAAACAACCCTCAGTGCTTCTCTGTAACCCATTGAATCAAGCTCTCTGCCTGGCTTTCAAAGTTGTATGGAATTTTGTCCTGCTTCCACTTGTAAAAATTTACTGTACATTTACTCTGAATCTGCTAGAAATGTGCTATGGTTATTTCAAACTTTGCCATTTATTCAAGTACTGAATTTCTTGAGAGTTATCCTAAACTGTTTCCTTCATCCCAACAGCTCATTATTCATCAAACCCTGCTAATTTTACATCAGAAATCTCTCCATTCTCCCTGCAAATGCCTTGTTTCAAAATCCCTTCATTTATTTTCTGGACTACTAAAGTAACCTCTCAACTGATCCTCTTGCCTTCAGGTGCCCTTTCTACAAGACAAATGAAATTGTGTCATCTTCCTGCTTTTATTTCTATGTTCCTCCCTGTTGCCTTGAAGAGAGTTAAAATTCCTTAGCATGGTTTTCAAGATTCTTCTTGGTCTGGTTCCCTGTAACCCTCCCCAGCCCCACCTTTTCTCCTGTACTTCTCTGTACTCTAGCCATATTAGAGTGTCCATGATTCTCTGAACACTATGCTTTTTCACACTTCAGTGGTTTTGCACATCTTTATTGTACTGAAATGTCTTCATCTCAGCCAACTATCTGTGTGGCCAACTTCTAGTCCTTTAGGAATGGGCCACTAATACAATTAGGTGACAAACTGATGGAGAATTTTATAATGGACAGACATGGCTGACATTACCTGAACCTACCAATCTATCTATTTTTAAAAAATGTTTTTCCAACTTTTATTTTAAGTTCAGGGATACATGTGCAGGATGTGCAGGTTTGTCACATAGGTAAACATGTGCCATGGTGGTTTGCTGCTGATCTTTCTTAATATTTAAGAAAAGAGGAAGTTTGTCTAACCCTATTGGCTCAAGAGGCTGCCCAATTACAATTTTTTTTTTTTTAAAAGAGAGAGACAGACAATATGTATCTCTTAATATGATACAGTAAGAAACATACAATACTACCTGCATGGAATTCTAGTAAAAACACTTGAACCTGAATCTGACCAATCATTTAGATTTAATTACTAGTTTATAGGACACACAACATTTTAAAGGACACGACTAGGACGCAATCAGCAAAACTTAGCCTTTGAGAAACTGTAGTACAAATAACCTAGTATCTTCAATAAGTAAATGACAAGGAAGACAGGGGAACTGATAGATTAAAAGCACCTTGACATATGTTAACCGAATGTAAGTCAGGCACAGTGGTGTGTGTGTCTGTAGTTCCAGCTACGTGGGAGGCTGAGGTGGGAGGATTGCTTGAGCCCAGGAGTTCAAGTCCAGCCTGAGCAACATAGTGAGACCCTGTCTCAAAAAAAAAAAAAAAAAAAAAAGTAATGGTGGACCTTATTTGGATCATGATTCCAACAACTAACTTTCAAAAGAAATTTTTGAATTGATGAGGAAAATTGAACACTAGATATTAGGTTATATCAAGCATGATTTTTTAGGTGTCATAATAGTTTTATGTGTTTACAAAAAAGAGTCCTGGCCGGGCGTGGTTATGGCTCATACCTATAGCCCAGCACTTTGGGAGGCTGAGGCAGGTGGATCACTTGAGCCCAGGAATTCAAGAACAGCCTGGGCAACATAGTGAAACCCATCTCTAAAAAAAATACAAAAATTAGCTGAGTGTGGTGTTGCATGCCTATAGTCCCAGCTACTTGGGAGGCTGAGGTGGGGGGATTGCTTGAACCCAGGAGGTTAAGGCTGTAGTGAGCTGAGATCACGCCACTGCACTCCACCCTGGGTGACAGAGTGAGACACTATCTCAGAAAAAAACGTCCTGGCTGGGTGCAGTGGCTCACACCTGTAATCCCAGCACTTTGGGAGGCCGAGGTGAGAGGATTACTTAAGCCCAGGAGTTTGAGACCAGCCCTGGGAATATAAGGAGACCCGATGTCTACAAAAAATAAAAAAATTAGCCAGGCGTGGTGGAGGTCAGGGCTAAAAGTGAGCTGTGATCATACCACTGTACTCCAGCCTGGGCTAAAAGTGAGCTGTGATCATAGCACTGCACTCCAGCCTGGGTGACAGGGAGACCCTGTCGCAGGAAAAAAAAAAATCCTTATCTGTTAAAGATGCATATGAAGTATTTACAGATGAAATGATACTTTAATGTAAATGATAGGTGTCATAATCCAGTGCATACATGGGGACAGAGCTGAGTAGGTAGAGGTATACATAAAACATGATTAGCCATGAGTTAATAATTATCAAAGCTGGATGATGGATACATGGGAGTTCAGTGTTTGAAATTTTACATAATGTTAAAAACAAAAAAGATGACTGAGCTTAAGGATCACTTCTTTTGGATATCTTCCCTTAACAGTGACTCTTGCTCAAAACCAGACAAAATAGATACTCCTTTTTCTTTTTTTTTTTTTGAGACAGTCTCACTCTATCGCCAGGCTGGAGTGCAGTGGCATGAGCTTGGCTCACTGCAATCTCTGCCTCCCGAGTTCAAGCGATTCTCCTGCCTCAGCCTCCTGAGTAGCTGGGATTACAGGGGCGCACTAATACACTCAGTTAATTTTTGTATTTTTAGTAGAGACAGGGTTTCACCATGTTGGCCAGGATGGTCTCCATCTCCTGACCTCATGATCTGCCCGCATAGGTCTCCCAAAGTGCTGGGATTACAGGCATGGGTCGTCCAGCCCAGCCTTTTTTTTTTTTTTTTTTTTTTTTTTTTTTTAAGAGACAGGGTCTTATTCTGTGTAATAACGTGATCGTGGTTCACTGCAGCCTTGAACTCCGGGTCTCAAGGGATTCTCCTGCCTCAACCTCTTAAGTAGCTAGGACTACAAATGTGTGCCACCAGGCCCAGCTAATTTTTTTTTGTTTTTGTTTTTGTTTTTTTTTTTTTGGTAGGGACAGGGTCTCACTATGTTGCCCAGGATGGTCTCGAACTCTTGAGCCCAAGTGATTCTCCCACCTTGGCCTCCCAAAGTGCTGGGATTACAGGCATGAGCCACCACTCTCAGCCCTAGATGCTTTTTCTTTTTTCTTTTCCTTTTTTTTTTTTGAGAGAGTCTTGCTGTCACCCAGGCTCGAGTGCAGTGGTACGATCTTGGCTCACTGCAATCTCTGCCTTCCAGATTCAAGTGATTCTCCCACCTCAGCCTCCCAAGTAGCTGGGATTACAGGCACCTGCCATCATGCATGGCTACTTTTTGTACTTTGAGTAGAGATGGGGTTTCACCATATTGGCCAGGCTGGTCTTGAACCCCTGACCTTGTGATCAGCCCACCTTGGTCTCCCAAAGTGATGGGATTACAGGTGTGAGCCACTGCGCATAGCCTAGATGCTCTTTTGCTTTTCTTGTCTTTCTTTCTTTATTTTTATTTTTATTTTGAGACAAAGTCTTGCTCTGTGTCGCCCAGGCTGGAGTGCAGTGGCACAGTCTTGGCACACTGCAATCTCCACCTCCTGGATTCAAGCGATTCTCCTGCCCCAGCCTCCCAAGCAGCTGGGACTACAGGTGCATGCCACCATGCCCAGCTAATTTTTGTATTTTTAGTAGAGACGGGCTTTCACCATATTGGCCAGGTTGGTCTTGAACTCCTGACCTCGTGATCCACCCACCTTGGTCTCCCAAAGTGCTGGGATTACAGGCATGAGCCACCGTGCTCAGCCTAGATGCTCTTTTTCTAAAGCATCATAACTGTCTGTCCATACCTCCCTCCCAGCACTTATTTCACTCTGTTGTATTTGTTGTCTTTACTCCCTCACATGATTTTGAGCTTTTTGAGGTGTTTATAGTTCCTGATTTTACTTCAGTTACCATCATATAGATATTTGCTTTCATAGATTTGTTACTAGATATTTTATGACATCTACACATAACTTTAATTTGTTTTCTTTTAGGTTGCATAGCAGTAGAAAAATCCCTGAATAGCCGAACCTTTAGCAAGCTCTTGCACTCTTGCCCATACCAATGTGATCGTCACAAAGTCATTGTGGAAGCTGAAGACAGATATAAAAGTGAACTAAGGAAATTACTTATCTGTAACAAAAGTAATTAATTCAGCAGCTTTAAAACTGTAATTATGGCTATACCTTCTGAACTATTATCTAAAGCATTAAATATATCAAAAACTAGAGGGTAAAATAATCTTAAAAAGAAAATCTGTCTCTAAGCAACCAGTAATTCAAGATGTACCCAGGGAGTAGTCTTAGACTGTTAGTTTAAAAATTCTTCCGAATCTATCTAAGTATTCCCACTAGACGGGGGACTAAAGGAAATATACTAATGGAATTGATATGCTATTACTCAGATTGATATGCTAAGTGTCCTAAATGTTTTCCATATTTTTCAGAAATTCTGCTGACCCCACGTAGAAGACAACAACTCAGTAATGAATCTACTACCCCTGGAAGAATAAGTGAATATATTTAATTTAATTTTTTTTTTTTTCTCAAGACAGGGTCTGGCTCTGTCACCCAGGCCGAAGTGCAGCGGAGCAATCTCTGCTCACTGCAGCCTCCGCCTCCCAGGTTCAAGTGACTCTCCTGCCTCAGCCTCCTGAGTAGCTGGGATTACAGACACGTGCCACCATGCTCTGCTAGTTTGTGTATTTTTAGTAGACATGGGGTTTCACCATGTTGGCCAGGCTGGTCTCAGACTCCTGACCTCAAGTGATCTGCCCGCCTTGGCCTCCCAACGTGCTGGGATTACAGGCATGAGCCATTGCACCTGGCTGAATATATTTTATTTTTAAATGAACTTAAATTTCATATATTTCTGAGAAAGAAGAGAACAGCTGAGTAGTTGTTCTCAGTCTCATTATTAACGGATCTTAAATGATAAACCTTGCCTCTGATGAGGGTCAGACCTAATAAAAGAGACTTTCCTTTTCCCTTCATGTTGCTTGCTCACTCATTGCCTGCTAGCAGGGGAAGGAGCAGGAGGATACTAACATTTATTAAGCACCTGCTAGATGTTAGATGGTGTATAGATATTATTTCCTTTAGTTCCTATAGTAATATTGTTAGATACTAATTTGCTCCTATTGTAAGGCATAATGATTAATAGTTGGTAAGTAGCAGAACTTAGATTCAAAAAGCCATTCTCCAGAAGCCCTTGTTCTCTCCTCACGTTATTTTAAGAACAAAATTATTATGCACAAGCGCTTCAGAGAGACTTTGCAGGAGGTTTTTTTCCATAACTATAGTGCTTGAAACAATAAAAATTGAAGAGACAAATAGTATAAACCTTAAAACTCTGCTTAAAAAATAAAAATGTCTCTTAAACAATTAGTTTATTTATGGGAATTTTAATTTAACTATATGGTTAACATTTCGCATTGATCACCATTTCCGAGTTATCAGAAGCTTAAATAACATTATCATTTTCTTTTATTCATATGGAGTTAATATCTGCAGACTAAAATAGGTTGGATATATTAATTAGTAACACCTATAGAGCCACTCTGTTATTTAGACATTTGAACGTGATACATTCAGGAAGCATTTTGCCATGTATATTTATTTGGCTATTTTCACTGCCACAACTTTCAAGGAAATTTCAAATTTGCTTTTTATATCTGAATCTTTTTCTAGATTAAAAGTTCTGCATGCAAATTATAATTAAGTATAGTACAGAAAGATGAGCCCACTTTCTGAAGTAATATTTTCTGTAGTAATTATTAGAAAATGGGTATTTTTTCATGGAAACATCATGCACTTGGAGACCTTGTTCTTGACAAGGTTTGGCATCAAATTAATAATAGGTGCTTTTCAACAACATGTCTTCAAAGCAAGTATGTACCAACAAAAAATATGCTATAATCTATTTGCATAGTAAAATAATTTGCAGAACTTCATGAAATGTGCATAATAATGGTTATACAATGATTATATACAGGGGTCCTATATACTATTAAGTGACATTGAGCTCAGAAAAAAACATACTTTTTTTTTTTGTAGGTAAAACTTGCTTTAGCTAAAACCAAATAATCTGGCCTACTTTTAAGTATTTAGAAAGGAATCTTGAGAAAGTAGTGATTCTTACATCTCTTTCACAAATAGGCCAGGAATATTTGGTGTGTTACCATTTTTTTCCCCTCTTAATAAAACTTACCTTTTTTTAGGACACTCACCACTATTCTTTTAATTATACTTTATACTCAAATTTGAGCCCATTCCTCTGAGAAGGGACCACTGTACTAAGCATTTACAGATTTCCCCAAGCCTCTATTTTAGGATGGATTGGTGTTTTGAGAGGGCTTGAAAAATAAAGAGTCCTTAGAATTAAGTCCTCTTGCCCATTTTCCCTTACTCTTCCCTAATACCTAATATTAAGACTAAATAAGTCACAGAGTGGGGAGCTTGGGGTGTAGAGAGCTGCTTCCTTCTTCCAGGCTGCTCAGTACTCTGCTGTAGGAATCTTTGAGGATTTGGGCACAGACGGTAAGTATAAAAGTCAGGGAGATGGCAGCCACAATAGAAAAGTGGGGCTTTACATGATCAACTCCAGGGCTCAATATCCTGAAAGTTATAGTAACCAGTCTAGTCCTGATTATTATGAGTTCAAATAATTTAACAAGGGAAGTTGAAACCTATTTCTTGGATAGCCACAGTTTTCCAGTACACCCAAAATGAAGGAGTAATTTCATTGATAAGTTTTGAGATAGTTTTACCAATAATTTTGTTCTCTCAACAAGTATTTATTGACTACTACTGTGTGTCAGATAGTATTGTAAGCACTGGGGATACAATGGTGAATAAAATAGATTAAAATTGCTGCCCTCATGGAGCTTACATTCTAAATAATACTATTAAGCAATAATCAGACATTGTTTACACTGATAACCTTCTGCTGGGAAGATTTTTCTCATCTGTTTTAAAAGGTCTACTATGGCTCTTAGAATAGGTAAACAAATGGCTGTCTTGGCCTGCAAGGACAAGATTTTCTAAGGGTGACTCAGGACAGCTGCACCCAGTACTACGAAAGTAAATAACAGCCTCAAGTGGAAATACAAAAAATTCCTCACCACCATCTACCCACAATGATAACATGGGATAATAATGAATGAAAAAGCTTAAAGAAAACTATTTCCTAGTAATCATCACCAGAAAATATTTGTTTACAGATATCAACTGTATATTCTTTCTTTATAGAAAGTATCCCTTAAAAACCAGATAGTTAAAAACTTCCTTCCCCATTGTGCAGCCTATATTTTGAGTTTTGATCTAGCTGACCACGTGTTTTTAAAAGCAAATTTCAAAAGACCCTTATTCTTAAAAATATTATCAAACTTAATATTTAAAGTAACAAGTGTTGATATTCTTTTTTATTCTATCAAGTTATGGAGCCCTTTGGGAAGACTGTAAGATATGCAAGCTGTTTTTTATTTATTTTATTTTTTTAAATTTTGAGAGAGTCTTGCTCTGTCACCCAGGCTGGAATGCAGTGGCACGATCTCAGCTCACTGCAACCTCTGCCTCCCAGGTTTAAGCAATTCTTGTGCCTCAGCCTCCTGAGAAGCTGGGACTACAGTCATGCGCCACCATGCCTGGCTACTTTTTGTATTTTTGGTAGAGACAGGGTTTTGCCATGTTGACCAGGCTGGTCTCAAACTTCTGACCTCAAGTAATCCACCTGCCTAAGCCTCCCAAAGTGCTAGGATTACAGGCGTGAGCCACCGTGCCTGGTCGGGAAGATGTTGGTTAACTGTCCTCACAGGAATGTTGAATTAACAATCAAATGTTTATAAACTGTTGTTTCTTGATTGAAAGATACTGTATTACTACTATCAATTAAGTTATAATTACTGAAGAAGTCACAGTGATAGCAACTAGCTTAATATTAGGCACTCAGGTTTTTAAAATTGAAGTGGGTTACCACATGATGAGAAGCCCTGGCATTTCTCTATATCCTTAGGTATAAGGTAAGCATATCCAAATAAGCACTTATTTGCATCTCAGGACCTTTGTTCAGCAAATACTAATATATTCTACAATCCTAATTACAGAAAAAAGAAGAGTTCGCAAAAACTTTACTGAAGAAGAAGTAAATTACCTTTTCAATGGAGTTAAGAAAATGGGAAATCACTGGAATTCAATTTTGTGGTCTTTCCCCTTTCAGCAAGGACGGAAGGCTGTGGACCTTGCTCACAAATACCGCAAGCTGACCAAAAGCCCCATGTATGCAGCTTCTTCTTTGGAAGAAGACTGTCAGTTTAGTTTGGATTTTTAAAATACAGTGCCTTGAAAGATACAACATTTAAAGTATTTTTCTAAACTCTCATGAGAAGGAATGTGGAAATGAGGACACAGTTTTCATTAAACAGTTTTTGTGATGCTGAAACTCATCAAGTTATTACAATGATTTATAAAGCAAATGTATCTCCAGTGTACAGATTAGTAAGATAAAATTCCTTCGTAAGATCAAACATTTGTTTAGGAATATGCTTTTATTTTTCCTTAAGCTTAAATGACATAGAGAAAAGAATGATCAGCCTTTAAACGTTATTTGACATTATATTGCAATAAATACTATGTGAGACATTTGGATTTTATACGGTACAAAAGTCCCTCCCTAGAATTCAGAAAGAATAGTTCCCCAAGCTGTTTAACTAAGGTTCCCACACACTAAATCAATATTTGACATTTTGTTAATTAAAACGTTTCCTTGGCTGTGGTGGTGGCTCATATTTGTAATCTCCCACTTTGGGAGGCCAGTGTGGGAGGATCACTTGAGGCAAGGAGTTTAAGACCAGCCTGGGCAACATAGTGAGACCCCCATCTTTAAAAAAAATTTAAAAATTAGCTGGATGTGGTGGCATGCCCCTGTGGTCTGAGCTACTTGAGAGGCTGAGGTGAGAGGATCGCTTGAGCCCAGGAGTTCGAGGTTGTAGTTAGCTATGAGTGTTCCACCGTACTCTAGCCTGGACTAGAGAACTAGACCCTGTCTCTTAAAAAAGTTACCACTTCTATTGTTTACTGTAGTATCCTAGAGGGAAAAAAAATTTCTTCTTCTACTAATTATGCAGTGCTTTGAATACTTCCACATTGTATAGTCAGGTTCACTTCTTTGTAGTGTATGTTTATTTGCTTTAGCTTTTCAGAAGTGTCTACACTTTCCCCTCTTCTCCCTCTATGTCTTTATCCTTCATATTGATGAGCCCTAGTTACTTCATGTTGCAGCAGAACAATTTCTTGTCCCCTTAGGAGTTTAGTCACTGACACTGGATAACTGTCTTTGCAAAATGTGTCCAGAAATGTCACCCTAAGAAATCCAGCCTGACTTGCATGGGGGGCTAGCTTCTTTATTAGCATCAGTGAGGTTTTATGGGTTCTACCCTAAGATGCTTCTTGTCATTTTACATGACCAACTCTTAGATTATAGTTACTGAATGACGTTTAGATTATAATTTTTATTTTAAATAATTTCCTATCCTATTCCTATGCATTTTTAAATTTGATTTTACTTTATTTGACAGAGTCTTACTCTCTTGCCCAGGCTAGAGTGCAGTGGTGCAATCTCAGCTCACTGCAGCCTCTGTCTCCTGGGTTCAAGCAATTATCGTGCTTCAGCCTCCCAAGTAGCTGGGTTTAAAGGCGCATGGCACCATTCCTGGCTAATTTTTTTTTTTTTTTGTATTTTTAGTAGAGATGGGGTTTTGCCATGTTGGCCAGGCTGGTCTGGAACTCCTGACCTCAAGTGATTCGCCAGCCTCGGCCTCCCAAAGTGCCAGGATTACAGGTGTGAGCCACCGCACCTGGCCTTCCTATGCTTTTTTGTTAAACCCTTCCACAGGACTTTAATGTTCCTACTAAATTTCATCTTGTTAGATTTAGTCTCTGCTCAGTTTGTCAAGCAGTAGATAAGGCAACCCTTCCTGCTTCAGGTCATCCACAACTTCCATTACTGCCGCTGTATTCTTATCCAAGTCACTGATGGCACCCTGAATTGGCTGGCCGGGGCAGGAGGTTTGGGCAGGCCCCTAGCAGCCTCTTCTGCTGGTCCCTCCTCTTCATCAGCCACCTCTGGGTTAGTCTTTAATAAGCCTCAATGCTATCATCCAGCATTGATTTCACTTTCGCATCTAAGATGTGAATTGTCAAATGCCCTGTTGAAATCTGCATTTGCTATATCTGCAGCATCCGCCTACCTGGTATTCCTGCAAAAAAGAAAGATACTGTGTAAATCTGGTACTCTCTTTTCCTTTAGTGTCTAATCACAAAATTTCACTTAGTGCTGATTAAGCTCACTGGACTGTAATTTTCAACTCCATCTTCTGTCCTGTGAAAATTCAGCACTCCTTGCCCTTTTAGGACTTCTGGCACTTTGCCTGATTTTCCCAGATTTCCAAGGGAGGGTTTTCACTCTCATTGTCTTGTTTAAACCTTACATCCAGTTTGGCAGATGATATGCCCATTTGTTTTATCCCGTAATTCATGCTGCCAGATTTTTGGCGTCAGGATCACAATCCTACTCATATGAAACCCACTCAGGTGGTGCTTTTCTGCCATATTCCACTTCCTTGTGATATTTAGAAATGTCTTCTTAGCCTGTTTCCATAGAGAATGACAAGAGCCCTCAAGTAGAGGCCACACCTAAAATTAAGCTTGATAATGGAATGTATGTTTTCCCTTCGGTTACTCTCCGCTCTTTCCCTTTTCCACCCCCTTTCCTTTTGTTTTCCTTCCCACTCTGCACCTGCCACCTGACCCCCAAGGAAATTAAGGGCTCCTCTTCTAGTGTGAAATGCTGGCTCCCTGAAAACATTTTAAAAAGCATGTTAATAAAGCAAAGCCAAGTGTATTATGCACTGCGGTCAAGAGCACTAACTCACAGTCTAGTCTTCCGAGGAGGAAGGGGAAAAGCAGGATATTTATGAGGATTCTGGCGTCTTGCTTAAGGCTGGTCTTTCAATGCAGGGCTTGAGTAGGGTTAGGCCAAGTTGATAATATAATTGTCCAGGGTTGGGGAATAAATTAGAAGTATCGAATGTTATTTTCTAGTCTTGGGTTCTTAGGTGGGTTTCTTAAATTTTCTGAGCTTCAGGTTCCTCATCTGTGAAAGGGTTAGATAAGATTCAGTGAGATAATGTGTGACTGGCACATAGTGAGCTCCAGATAAATTGCGCTTTTGTGTGCATCAGTCTCATTCCCAAAGCCTAGGCTTTACGGTCATGCGGCTGCCCGACCCCCGAGGGCACAGCGGAATCCGCGAGCTTGGCGGGGCGCTGCGCTGCGCCCCTCAACCGGCAGAGGCCGCCAGAGCGCCCTCGGTCCAGACGGTGCCCGCCTCTGCCACCGCCTCCCCGCGCATGGCTGCCCCGGCGGCTGCCTGACCGTCGCCCGCCACCTCGGCGGCCTCGCAACCTGTGGGAGCCCGTGGCCATCGCAGACCTAGAGGGCACACTGGGTGGCGCAGTCGCCGCGGCAAGGTCGGCGGGCGGCGCAGCGCGGGGGACGGCGAGCGGGGGGCGGCCCGGCCGGGGTCCTCGCGGGTCCTCGGCGGGCCCGGGGGAGGGCCCTCTTTGTGGCTGCAGTTGGCAAGATGGCGCCGGTGGGGGTGGAGAAGAAGCTGCTGCTGGGTCCCAACGGGCCCGCGGTGGCGGCCGCCGGCGACCTGACCAGTGAGGAGGAGGAAGGCCAGAGCCTATGGTGAGGTCGTGGGCGGTCGGGCCGGGCCGGGGAGGCCGCGGCCTCTGGGCCGGACCGTCGGACACACTGAGGGGCCGTCGCGAGCCGGGCCATCCCAGTCCGGCTCGGGGCTGACCACTCTCACCATTGTCGCCGCAGGTCCTCCATTCTGAGCGAAGTATCCACCCGTGCCAGGTCGAAGCTGCCGTCCGGCAAGAACATCCTGGTCTTCGGTGAGCACCGGCAGCGGGGCGTTGCCCCAGGGCGCTGGGGTGGGCGAGGCGGGCGCCCCTCCCACAGGTCCCCGCCTTCCCCTTGCCAGCCGCCTGCCCGCAGCCTGGTGGGAAAGGGACCGTCGGCCCTGGCCGGGCAGCTGGAGTGTGGCCAAACCTCCCGCGCCCGAGGGTGGGATGCTGCCGTCTTTGGAGAGCCTAGTGGTGCTCTGGGGTTGTCGGCACATTGTTTCAGTCATTTGGCGTTCTATGCCTCCATAGCCTCGAAGATTACCAAATTGTGATCGTGGAGAGGGGAGCTAGTAAATGAGGTTTGGTGGAAAAGGCGGGAGAACTACGTGACCTGGGCTTGGAGCTGTGGGGAAATGGCCACGGGAGCCTTCTTTGAGCCTCATCAGTAGTGCATAGTCTGAGGTTTTAGGGACTTTGTAGAGGACAGAGAGTCAGCACTGGGGACGTTTCCTGCATTACTCCAGCCCTCACTGCTAGGTTACCTGAGTCAGGTCTCTTAATCCCTCTGGCCTCACTCTCCTCAAGTGAGGGAGTTGGGGTACTTTCACACAGCAAGTTGCTTCGTACCTGTGGGCTGGGCACTGGCTCAGCATAGACGTCTCTTAAACACTATACAAGAATCTCAGTTTGGTGGAAGACAGATCCATGCCGATTATTGTGGAAGCATCACACAGCTTGGAGCTGTTGAAGGAGGATGATTTGGGGGTTGAGTATTTTGCAGAAAAGTGTCAGTATGCAGGGACACAGATGACAAGAGGATGTGGGGTTTGGAAACTGCTCGAAGCGCCTTGTGGTTGATGGCTGCTAAGGTAAGTTGGGGGCAGATCGTGGGAAGGCTGAAGAGTTAGTGCTGTTTCCTGAAGTTCTCCGATTCTCAAAGGCCTGTTATCTCACCTCCATCCCCCAATTCTCATGGGAATCACTGCCTTGGTAGTTTTCCTACTGCTACTGACGAGAATGTGTGACCTTCCTTAGGAAATGACTGTGGTCGGTAATACTGGACCCTTAGAGATCTTCAAGAAGTGGGGGATCAAGATCACCAGATCTGAGTTTTAGAAAGAACACTGCCTGCAGAGGGACAGTAGCTCAAAATGAGCAGGTACTGAAGTCAGACTGATAGGTACTCACCATGGTCTGTATGCAGAGGGCCTGAATAAGGTAGAGGCATTGGAGACCCAGAGGAGGTCTTTGATCTGTGTACTGACTGCCTTTCAATTCTCATGTTCTGTAATTCCATATTATTAAATGCCAGAAGTGCCTAGTAATGTTTGGCGATGGTTCTCCTTGATGTTTAAGGATCTGGGGAGGGGGTGTTGTTTGGGTGGAGGGAGATGAAGAAGTGCTTATTAATTAACTGAGATTGTACTAAAGAGTTTTGCTAGGTCTATAATTATTTTCGTCAGTTTCTTAGTCTTCAGAATGCTTGTGAAGGAGATGTACTAAAATCAAAAGTGAATAACTTCCGTTCTTCACCATTGTGAAGTAGGATCAGACTTTTTTTAGTTTACAGTACCTGGACTTTTAGGTTAATTGTATCATAAAAGATTTCTTGTTTTTCTTGTGGTGAAAGTTTATCTTGTGAGAAACTAACCCTGCCTTTTACTTTCACTTCTCCAAATGCATGTCTTATAAGTTATAGGTAGGGCCTGTGGACCTGCCTCATTATTTTCCTTGTGAAGTAAGGATAACGCAGTAGAATGTCATTTTAGATTTTAGAATTTGCTGCCTTTACCACCCTCTCCTCCCTACCCTCCCAACCACTCTTCCAGCAAAGTCCTTTGTTTATGAAAGCAGGTGAGACCTCAACAGCAGACTTTGCATGAAATTCTTAGTTGTTCCATGTCATGTGAGTGTCATGCCTCCCCATCCTTGCCCAGAATAAACAGTACACCTTT